CCATTCCTTTCGAATTATTTTGTAGGTTAGCAGGAATAGAAGGTCTGTTATTGTTATTTTCGGAGTTCGTAGAAAAAGCATAGTATGTAACGCGTTTATAAACTCTTCTAGACACTCGTTTATTGAACACTCGCTCTGCTCTGCTCCGCTCGTGCTTAAAATACTCGTTACTAAAAGGACGTTTATAACACTTGTTACATAATATACTATTATTGTACCAAGTGTAATAAACGTCCTTTTAGTAACGAGTATTTTAAGCACGAGCGGAGCGAGTGTTTAATAAACGAGTGTCTAGAAGAGTTTATAAACGCGTTACATACTATAGTTTTTCTACGAACTCCGAAAATAACATTAACATACCTGCTATTCCTGCTAACCTTGAACATAATTCGAAAGGAATGGGAATTAAGAATATAATAATACATGCAACTGCATGCAACCAGCGAGACACGTATAAGTGATATATTGGTTCAGTCCATTGATTATTAACCTTTGTTTCACATTTATTGTCATGCTTAGCGCAGAATAAATGAATTGTTCTCAAAGATGGTTGCTTCATTTTTACACTTCTTGGAAATATGCAAGTACCAAAACATTCTCTTCGATTTCACTTTCGTTCACATTTCGCATATATTTTTATTGATGAATTCTGATACAAACGAAAATTGTTTGAATAATTCTGATACAAAATTCGAAAATGACAGTTGACAGTTCCTACAATTGACAAGCCAGACATGTCTCAAATCACTGAAGCTGTGTTTAATGAACTGCGTTGCCATGGTAATGTGTTTAAGGAATCGTGTTGCCATGGTAACGTGTTTAATATTTTGAATAAATCACAGATCGTCAATCCGTTATTAATCGATCATTTAGCGTGGTACATATCCGTACGCTAAATGCCATTTTAGTTATGTGAGTAGAAAATATACTATTATTTTATAGAAACGAGGAGAGAAAATCCCAAAAAATCCAAATTCGTGTTTTTTAGACAAAAATACGTAGATGACAAAAACATTTTTCGAAAAAAACCATCACATGAAAAGTGTAAAATTACCATTTTGAGCTCAAAAAGATCTCCTATGACACATTCACCTTCGAATGTTAATCGTTTTCTTGGTCATCCCTGTTGGTGCGCCACCAGGTCACGTCCGTAATGACCATAATAACGTTAATGATTATTTAGTGGTAATTTTGTTTCCATAACAAAGTTAGGGCTGCCGAACACCTGACAGTTCTCACAGCACAGCTAGTTCCAGGCGCACGGACTGTAATATCACCTGGATAAAGATAATGGTCTCGCGATCTTTACACAACTTCAACCAACTTTCCGAAAGTTACATCCTGGATTCGGATTACGAACGGCTCACGAACACTCATCGCCAAGATTATTTATGGCCATTTTGACTAATTTCGAGTCTACACGATTCACTGAAATCTGCGCCACCGAAATATTTGCTGTAAAACTATTTTTTATAATTGCTCAAAAAATTCCAGGAATTTTATAGACACTGATTGATACTCATAAAAAAAGCTCGATTTTAGATTCGATATAAAACTATCCCTTTAGATTTTTAAAATTAGTGGTTCACGCAATGTAGTATACAATGTGTCCCACTTAACATGCTCACCATGGGTATCTTTTTAACGGTGAGAGATACGAGGTCGGTTAAATGACACCAAATGTGGAGTTTGTCAAGGCCAACTATGATGTGAAAAAATATTTCGATGAAATCTATTCATTTTTGTTTTATACGCAAAAAACAGATTTTGATCATTTTCATGTCTCCTCCGTAACTTCTTTATTTATGAAAATATTCAAATAGGAATTTCACATTCTCATGGCAGTTTTTCAAAGTGATTTCGAAAAAAATATGAAATTTATACCAACTCTTCTAGAATTTGAGATATCAGCACCAACTTTAGTTTTTCAAATGTAGGTCATAGCTCACTATGACTTAGTTACAAATAACTTTTTTTTCTCTTACAGATGATATGTCGCAGTAATAGTTTTGTGTTGATAACAACGGAGTTATCGTCATTTATACAAAAACAAAAAATTATTTGGAAGCCGTCATCTTGAATTTATAAATTTTAACAAAAAATCATGATCTCTGACCTCAAATACCCCCACTCACCAATTTTGAATGGAATCGGACCAAATCTTGTCCGCCATCTTGGAGCAGCCATTTTTTTAAATTTCAACAAAAATTCCATAATTCCGATTAACTTGAAATTTGGCAGGTGCTCATAATTTCAGTGACAATACATTATTGAAATAGAAACCCTGAAGTTATGGAAAAACTTGAGCAGACTCACGTTATTTTTGATCTCAATGTGGAACTTTATATTATAGGCCAGTCATTGGGGATTTTTACCTGGAAAAAAGTCCGGAAGTTTTGAAACTTTGTAGGATTATAGTTTTGGGTGTCCAGAACTAAAATTCACAAAATGCACATTCTGGGACATGCCGCCGGCGCCGCCATCTTGCCAAGATGGCGCTCAAAAACGGTTTTTTGAAAATATCTCCAAAACGGTGCGTTTTTAAGGAAAATATGAGGACATAAAAATTTTAGATGAAGAAATTTTCTACAAGAAATGTTCCCAGTATATTTTTGCTGAAGTGAGCCGTTTAGGCCCAAGAGCTGATTGAATGACATCATATTCTGTTAATTTCAATAAACTGCCCCTAACTATCTCCAAATATGCGTATTAATTTATTTTTTATAATGAAACGGGCTATCTAATTGGTTTCTCGTTATATTTATAGCTTGCTGACAGAGGATATTTCCTATAAAATATGTTCCTAGAATATTCTCGCTAAAGTACCCTCGTTAAGGCATAAGTGCCCTTACCAAATTACAAATGTTGCGTAAGTTTTCTGTAGTGGCGAGTTTCGGAAATAATATGTGTATTAGGGGTCCCCAAATCTGATATTTAACGACTTTAAAAATATTTATCACGAAACGGTGGATATCCATTATTCAATTGATCGATGAATTCATCAATTAATCCATGTTAATAATTTATGATCAATCAATTTCGATTTTAAATGCTGTACTTGTTTCCACACCACCCAAGAGGCTAAGTACACGGCGCGTTTTTTTTAACGTGGTTTCCCCTGTAGTTCTAATCCACTCAGGTACTGAAATTATTTTTGGCAAAGGCCAGACGGACCTGGCTCGTTGATTTCGATATATTCAACGGGGAAACTGGTTACCTCAGCTCCAGAATCGATGTTAATTTCCTTCAACTCGTCGGATTCTTCTTCTGCAGTCGATAAAGAATCATCATGCAGCGAATGGAGGTCTTCTTCATCGGATTCGTCCAGTGTCACTTGGCTGATATTTTCACAAGTTTTTCCGTTGCAGACACCGCAAATCATCGAACATCGCAATCCTGCTTTCCTGCATCCGCAGGCTCTACCACAAGCCGCCTTGCACTTACAAGATAAAAAAGCAAGTAGTGCTTTGGAAGCAGGATCTTTCAAAGTAGTTATTGGAGTGAGGCCAGCTCCGAACAACGTTTTGATGATCGAAGGAGGCCAGTTTGTGTTTTCTTCCAACCCCATTCTTCAACTACTTTCGGACAACCACGCCATAGTTGAACCTGATAGTACGTTCTCAAACGAATGCTGTCGTGCAGCTGCGCTTGTCGGTGGTAAAGATGCCGAATTGAATTTACTTTTTGTTACCGACTTCACGAAACACTGGTATCGATATTTATCAAGATTGGTGTAATTTGTGTCTTTGAATCCATAGAGTGCAAGGAAAAATTTCTCACCGGCAAAGGCAACTTGATCAGGGGTGGCATGTTCATTTTTAAAAACTTTAATATGATCTTGTAACTCTTTATGTTTTTCTAATGTTGTTAGAAACTTCATTTTTCCTTGGTTAAATACGGTCTCGCAATTTTTTCATGTCCGTTTTTCTCGTAAAATTACTGATTGGCAAATTGTGTTCGTTAGGAAAGGTAATTTAGTTGATGAAAAAGTTCTTGTGTTTTTGCCGTTTATAAAAATATCTCATCTTAAATATATATTTTGTGTATTTACTCATATTGGGATAGAGTGGTAAAGACATCAAGAAAGCAAAATTTCAAATTTCTATGAATTTATGGGCGGTTTTACAGTACGAGAAGGTACCTATATCTACGGATACATAGTATAGGTTCGAAATTTACTCATAACCATCCTGCACCCACATACTTCTGGAGCAAAGTCGCCAGATTCGTCGATAATGCAATTTTTATATCGCCCAAATAATCGCAAGTCACAAATGCAAAGTTTTTGTCCCATAATTGATCTAAAAATCGTCCAATATAACGAGGAACAAATTGAATAGCCCGTTTTATTATAAAATATGAATTTATACGCATATATGGAGATAATTAGGGGCAGTTTATAGAAATTAACAGAATATGTTGTCATTCAATCAGCTCTAGAGCCTAAACGGCTCTCTTTAGCAGAAATATGCTCGGAACATTTCTTGTAGAAAATGTCTTCATCTTAAATTTTTATGTCTTCATATTTTTTCAAAAAACGCACCGTTTTGGAGATATTTTCAAAAAACCGTTTTTGAGCGCCATCTTGGCAAGATGGCGGCGCCGGCGGCATGTCCCGGAATGTGCATTTTGTGAATTTTAGTTCTGGACACCCAAAACTATAATCCTACAAAGTTTCAAAACTTCCGGACTTTTTTCCAGGTAAGCCTTATTTTGGATCCCCAATGACTGAACTATTATGGAGATAGACGATATCGTAGAATAAGGCCAAATGATAAGAAAAGAAGAAGCCAATTTTTTATCAGTTTATCAACTCTTCCTCAATAAATCAAAAAGCATGACAGTTAAAAATATCAATCCTCATACATTGTACATCTCTCTCCATATCCCTTGGACTGGCGAATAAGATTCAGATTTATAAAAAAATACTATATTTATCATAATAAAAGTCTTCATTTACAATATATCACAACACATATGGAAACAACATAAACATTATGTCAAGCAATCTGGTTGTCAGTTATCTTGATAGCTAGATCTGGAGGCTTATATTCGATATGGCCGTTAGACTTGTCCGTCTCACGTTGTCTCAGAACAGTCTTGTGAAGTAGAAGATGAACTATGCTGCATAAAACACCGAGCAAACTGAACACTTGCATAGCATTCCTACCACCCATGTAGTTGTACAGAATACCTCCGATGAAACTACCAATTGCATAACCTACAGACAAAAACGTAAGATGTGGAAACCTACATAGGCCAAACGAGCAGAATTTTCATTAAACGTATTAACGAACATAATAATCATACAATCCTCATTGAATCTTACCAAATCCATCGTCCATTCCTGCTGCTATCCCTTGCATGGTAGCAGAAGCTCCTGGAGGTGCTAGCTCGTTAGCATAGGCTACTATGGTGGTGTAGGTTAGTGCGTAGGTAGGGCCTTGAAAGATGAATTCTATGGGCACTATCCACCAAGGCGATGGTACTATCGAGATGAGGCCCAGTCGTAGGGCGTAGTTGATGAAACACATGCTGAAGCAGTGGACATGCCCGAAACGTTCCAGAATTTTACCTGAAAATTCCACATCAAACATTTTCGATTAATTCAAAGCCTCTATTTCGTATCGTTACGAAATGTTTTCCTTCTCCTTGGGGGACGGAGCATGAAATTACACTGGAAAATTTTTGACGTTCGTAGGTTAAATGACATTTACATTCAACCAGATTATTTCGAGTTCATTCTATGAGCCAATAAATGAAAATCATTTATCAACAGTTTACCATATAATATTATGTAGGTATACTTGCAAATTCGAAATTTTACAAAAACACATGTTGTTACTATACGTTAGTTCTTACATTTCATCACAAACAATCATCATTTTTATATAAACACCATGATATTTATACCTACTCTTCAGTTTTGACATGAATAATGACATACGTAAATGAAAAAAAATATATTATTCTTTTGAGTTAACATACAAAGTATACTAATCAAATGTCAAAACCATCGAAAATCGTCATTATCCAAGTAATTTTTCAATAATATTTCAGTGTGAAATTTCCTTACCGAATACCACTCTAGCTTCAATTAATATCCGGGAATTTTTTCTCGAAAAAATTTCCGTAATATTATAAGTGAAAATTGCAATAATGATTTGAGTATACTGTTCGCAGTAGAGAAGTTTTTGGGTTTTTCATTTTTGCAGTCATGAAAGGTCCCAAAAATGAGAATAGCATTCACGTTGCTATATGGCAAGGGTAAAGAGGTTGAACACAACGGGACGTATTTTATCTCTTGGAGCGCAGGAAAGGAAATTCCTATGATGTTCGTTGAACATCGTGCGTGCCTAGGGAGGATACGGAGGGGAGGTAATTGTTGGATTTTTTTTGAAATCTTGGAGGTTATAAGTTCTTGGGAATACTTCGTCTTTTTTTTATGTTCTGGTTCCCACGAAAAGGGATATCCTGTAATATTCAGAGAACATCGTGAGAACCAAAGGAAATAAGGTAGGAATTGGTGTCCTTCTTAAATTTTTGGAGGTAATATGCCTCGAGAAACACTTCCCTTGGCAATGTGTTCCAGAGCCTCGCTGTTCGTTGGATGAACGAGTCTTTGGAAAGAGATGTTCTGCAGGTCTCCAAAGTGACCACGAAGGGGTGCGAAGCCTCAACTCGACGGGTTAATCTCGCGGGGACTGCCAAGGGAGGAACAATTGTTGATATTTCAGAAGAGCATCGTCCATGAAAATATCTATAAAATAGAGCCAGATCGCCAACTTTTCTACGGTGTTCCAGAGAAGTGAGTGTATTTGTGAGCGAAGCATCACCCACAAGACTAATTGCCCTTTCTTGGACATAATCCAACAGTTTCAGGGTATGTTTGGGTACTGCACTCCAAATTTGGGAACAGTATTCCAGGAAAGGTCGGATCTGTGCCTTATAGATCATAAGCAGCTGACTGGAAGTGAAATAGCTCCTGGCCCGAAACAGAAAACCAAGTTTTTGGGATGCACTTTTAGCAATAATTGATCTCACGTGATTTTTCCAAGAAAGGTTATGGCTGATAGTAATAATAAGCATCGAAATGGATGTCTTCAGAGGTATGGTTACTCCTGACAAGCTTATGTTGGGCCTGTTGCCTTTGATATATCCAACGCCACACCTAGAGATTCCCCATGTTTTTCTAATGAAGTTTGAAAGTGATATTTCGATAAGATAATCCGATATGGAGACCACCCACTCACCTGATATTGAAAAGAATATCACTTCACCCCCCAAAGTTTCAGCTGCTACAATGAGGCCTTCTAACAATTTAACATTCTTTGTACCAGTAGCCTCTGCCAAATCTTCCAAATACCTGTTGACAATATCATAATCATCGTAACTTCTAGTATGAGCATAAGGAAATTGTCTTACCAAAAAAGATAGTAAATGATGAAGCTATCTACTATACCAGCAAAAACTGAGAAAGTGAGAAAAGTAGCAACATGCTTATTCTTCAGTAGATCCTTGATGGACTTGAAGATGTTATCAGGAGCCTCCATTATCGGCAGCTGAAAACAATACGAGGTTCATTGAGGAGGCCAAACAACTAACTGAAACATCGATTATTACCTACTTTCAGTTTGATACAAGCAAATAGGTCGATTGTACAGCAGGCCATCATCACTACGATGGCTGGGGAGTACTTCATCGCATTGCCAGAGAAAAAGTCCACGGCATAGCCTGCTATGAGGGCTGATACTCCGAAACCTACGGTGCCCCATACCCTCTGCTTTCCATAGTCAAAATCGTCACCTATAACATTTTTGAAAATTGTTTCGTGAAATTCACGTCACACCCTGTTTCGTTCTTCTTAAAACTCTTCGAGGACGTCAACGATGAATGCATGAAAATAGAGATTTTATTTGAGCAGAGCACAGATCTACCTTCTTATGTCTCATTTTTGTTCTCTATACCTATATATCTTCGGGGATTTTGAATAAATATAAAAAATGCAATTACAGTCCATGCATATTTAGTTGTTGTTGAGTGCTGAGAAGCACCTAAATAGAATTCAAAGAAATAAAAATAACAATAATGTAGGTGATCTTTGGAAAGACATTCCAGCTGGAACCTATTTAATTTTATACGGGTGTCTCGAAATTACATAAAAATATTTCAACCACAGATTCTCGGAAAAAAAATAGTAAAAAAAGTTCATACAGTGTGTCCACCTTAAGGACTTACCACCCCTGTAAAATTGTTATTATCTGACCTATTTCAAAAAACTTTTATTTGTTGGATAGGTATTTGAAATGTCCATCCAACAAGAGAGTGATTTTACTCATGAACTGTAATCGTGGCCAACTGCGACCAACTTTATTGACCCATATTTGAGAAAGTACTATTAGGTATTTTTTTTTTCACAATAACAATGATGGATTCTGAATCACGATCACTTGAAAAACACCTTCACTGATTTTTATCATCATAAAACACAGGGTGTCCGAAAAAACGAATTGTTTTTTTTTTAATAGGTGCGATCAGAAAATGTAGTATTGTGGTATTTTTGAGAAGAATTGATGACACATTATTATTGAGGACCACTTTGAACATCTGTACCGATTTTCATCATTCAAAAATACGATGTATATGAGAAAACAATTAAAAAGAAAAAGTAGGCAATACTTTTTCATCACCTCAAAAAAATATTAATTTGATTTTTCGAACTCCCTGTGTTTAATGATGATGAAAATCGGTACAGGTATGTTCCAAGTGATCCTGATTCATCTTTTATTTTGAGTGAAGAATTATCAGGATGAAAACTATTGCTAACCTATCCTTTTTAATTTTTTTCTCATACACATTGTATATTCAAATGACGAAAATTGGTACAGGTATATTTGAAATAATCCTCAATGATTATTTCTTTCTAGAAAAACCACAGAACTACATTTGCTGATCACCTATTTGAAGAAAATGATGATTCGTTTTTTTCGGACACCCTGTGTTTTATGATGATGAAAATCGGTACAGGTATATTTCAAGTGGTACTGATTCAGAATCCATCATCAAGTTTCGTGGAAAAAAATCCCTAATAGTACTTTCTGGAATATGGGTCATTGAAATTCGTCGTAGTTGGCCACGATAACAGTCAAAGAATTAGATCACTCTCTCGTTGGATGGGCATTTCAAATACCTATCCAACAAAAAAAGGTTTTTTGAAATTGGTCGGATAATAACGATTTTACAGGGGTGGTAAGTCCTTAAGGTGGACACACTGTATAAACATGGGTCTAGAAATGGTACCCTTTGTGGTAAAGTAACTATATTTTGTATATGTACCTTACTTTTTATACCCGATTTGAAAATGTTGAGAATTTACCGAAAAAAAGTTAGACACATATACGAAATTCTTCTTCTTCAGATGGCTATAATCTATAACTCCCTAGGAGAGGATTTCTGGACCCATGTTTATATACACTTTTTTCTACTATTTTCGTTCCTAGATCCTGTTGAAATCTTTCTATGTAATTTCGGCACATCCTGTATAATAAAATAATCTCAAATATATACTTTAAATCAAATTTGCTTAGTTACTGAACACGTTTTAACTGTAGCGTATATTTAAAAAAACAAAAATGAACTGTCCATCTTTTCTGAAAAAATTACCTTCAGCAACAGTGCGCGTACTGTATATTATTTTGTTATTCCCGATTTCGGATTAATCCTCATATGAGACCGTCATTTTTTTATGTATTTATCCACGACTGTTGCATAAAATATTCATAATACATGTACTTCCTCAAGCAAAACGGTAGCTATTTTTCACACCAGTGAACAATAGCAGTGAATAATCATAATTCACTGGTCTAGAGTTCCTAGGGTACGCGATATAACAAATAAGGAACTTTAGACCAGTGAATAATGGTAATTCACCGCTATTATTTACTGATGGTGTGAAAAATGGCTATCGTTCTGCTTGAGGAAGTACAACAGTCGTGGACAAATAATTAATATAACATCAGGTATCTTCAAGTCTCAGTTTTCTTAATGTCAAATGTGTTATAATAAAACAGTTGTTAAAATTAAATTTATAAATCGAAAACAATAGTAGTCGTGGACAAAGTATAGTATTCTACTCGCATTTAATGAGGCGAATGAATTTGACTTACCAATGACTTCGAAACAAATAGCATCACTGATGGAGTTGACCACGTTGAATCCAATCGATCCCAAAGACATGAGGATGACGAATCCCCAAAAGCTGATGGATTTGTACAGACATTGGCTGTCATAGTCTATGTCCTTTTCACAGTTTATATCACAGGGTAATTTGGAGCTGGTAGTATTGGCGATAGAATTGTTACCGAAATAACAATAACTAGAATTTGATGAATTCACGGAATTCATTATGAACATTTCTGGCTGCCTGAAGCATTTTGAGTTACATATAAGTCTAATTGTGAGGTTACTGCATAGATCTCTATCGGTGATATCCTAAAAAAATTCATTATTGTACGACGCGTCTGAGCTGCCACACAATAAAAAACTTGTTTTACGAACATTTGCAAATGATAGTTCTAAACGAACAGACCTGAATTCAAAGAAACAAGTCTGAATTCAATGGAAAAAGTTCTGAATTCGTAATAATAAGTCTGATTTCAAAGAAACAAGTCTGAATTCAAAGGAAAAATTCTGAATGCGAATAAAAACTTCTGATTTCAAAGAAAAACCTCTGAATTGAAATGAAAAGTATGACTTTTATGAAAAAAGTCTGAATCCAAAGAAAAAAGTTTGAATTCAAAGAAACTAGTATGGATTCAAAGAAAATAGTGAGTTCAAAACAAACAGACCTGAATTCAAAGAAACAAGTCTGAATTCAAAGGAAAAAGTTCTGAATTCGAAATGAAACGACTGAATTTAAAGAAACAAGCCGGAATTCAGAGAAAAAAGTCTGATTTCAAAGAAACAAGTCTCCATTCAGAGAAAGAAAGTCGGAATTTTAAAGAAAAAAACCTTAATAAAAAAAAAAAGTTAGAATTTTGTGAAAATAGTCTGAATCCAAAGAAAAAAGTCTGAATTGAATAAAAATTAAATACAGAACAGTGGCCTTTCTACGCTTTCATAAAATTCAACGTAAAATCCTGCTTACTGTATCCATGCATTTGGTGAAAGCAGTACTGTCCGCCGCTGTGAAATTGACCTCAACTTTTGGCTGAGGTGGCACGAAATTCAAAAGAGCGAAACACACCCCCATCACTGTTATGACGAGCATGAATATGGTTTTTCTGTACTCCCTGTATACGTCTACAATGAGCCCGAACAAGGGTTTGGCAAAGAGAAAGACTATGGGTAGGATGCCTGTAATGGTACCCATTACCAAAGAGGAGATTCCTAGTTCTCTGCCAAATACAGGTAGTTGCGGTAAAATTGGTCCCATTGCTGAAAAAAAAAAGAATTATACATTGTTGAAAAGGAATATTCTCAATTATAATAATGAACATAAAAAAATGGATACTTGTTATTTTCATAGGCCTTCAATCGCAGATTCGTGATTAGGTTTTCTCAATTCAGTCTTTCTTTCCACGTCCTGTATGATGACTATCAATTTATCATACAAACAAAAACTTCATACATTATTTTTTTAATTTGCTGTAAATGCACTCAATACAAGTGAGAGAATTACTAGATAATCATTATTATTATTATTATGAACATGACATTATTACAATAAAAACAAGGGATTTTTTTTTCCATCTTTCTACACTATACAGTCTGTCCAAGATAAGGTTGAACAGCATGGGGATCTCGGAAACGGTAGGAGATACGAAGTCGCTTAAATGGGGAAAAAGTTGCGCATTCGGAGGCTCATATCAAGAGCCTTCGAAAATTTTGAAAATTATTTTTAGTTTTTGAGTTATATCGAAAAAAGTGAATTTTTGGAATTTCTATTTTATTTTTTTTCTCCGTTATTATCAGAGATACAGAAAAACTGAAAATACTTTTTCATTGCAACTTTTGATGAGGTTTAACGTGGTGATACCGATTTTTTTATGCGACGTTTCGTATTCGTGGAACCATCATCAACTTTTGTTTTTTGAATACGGTCCTGATAATTTTTTCACAGATTCTGAAAGGTTTTTTTATTCTGAATTCAACAATGTACTATACAAGGTGATTCGAATGTGTTTCGACCTATTTCTATCCATCATCAATGTTTTTTCGAACTTCCAAAAGAAAAAAAGCCATCAGTTCCACTTATTTCTTATCATTTAGTGTCAAACTTGATGGATTAGTTATTCAATACTGAAAAGTGAATAAAAAATATCTCACTACATCATTCGATCAATGCAGCGTTTAAAATTGTTGATGAATTCTTACACGAATTACTTTAACAACTTAACTTTGACAATACCTACAGAGACATTCATAACAAATGTTCAAAATGATAACCATTATTTTCTGAACAAAGATATCCTCTTCTCACATGCAGTTGTTTCTAAGACATTGCTAAGCATTTCTGGGGTTATTCTATTGAATGCTTCGAAGACACTGTCCCTTAGTTCTTCTTCATCCTCAAAGTTATTTGCGTGTACAAAGTTCGATATATCCCCTAAGAAAAAATCCAGCTGTGTTAAATCAGGCGACCGCGCCGGCCAAGGGATAAAAACGCACGGACTTCTCTGGAATTATGTACCGGAGCGCCATCTTGTTGAAACCAACAGAGTTCTGAACTTCCGCAATCGGTAAATCATCCAGAGCTTCCTCAAGATGATTCTCAAGCGAATTTCTATAACGTTCGGAAGTCTGTGTTTCATGGTAAATAGAAGGAACAATAATTCGTGTACCAAATATTGCAACCCACATATTAAAGCCGAAACGGTGTTGGTGTCTCGCTGTAATGTATAAATGTTCATTTTCTCGTGAACAATAATGTGTATTTTTTCTATCGAAGCTACCATGATTAGTGACCATGCTTTCATCAGTCCAGATGATTGTTCGAAAGAAATCTGCAAAATTTTAACATTTCCTGGTATACCACTCACAGGATGTCTTGCGCCTTTCGTCATCTCCGGGTTTTAGCGCTTGACATATTCTGAATTTGTATGGATGGAATTTTTGTTTCCGCAAAATGAAATGGGTTGTTGATTGAAACCAGTTGATGAGGTATTTGTGTGTTGACTAATTTTCCTTCAAAATAAGTGGAACTGATGGCATTTTTCCTTTGGAGTTTCGAAAAAACATTGATGATGGATGGAAATAGGTCGAAACACAAATGAACCACCTTGTATAATACATGGTTGAATTCAGAATAAAAAAACCTTTTAGAATCTGTGAAAAAATTATCAGGACCGTATTTAAAAAACAAAAGTTGATGATGGTTCCACGAATACGAAACGTCGCATGAAAAAATCGGTATCACCACGTTGACCGTCATCAAAAGTTGCTATGAAAAAGTATTCTCAGTTTTGCTGTATCTCTAATAATAACGGAAAAAAAAAAATAGAAATTCGAAAAATTCACTTTTTTCGATATAACTCAAAAACTAAAAATAATTTTCAAAATTTTCGAAGGCTCTTGATATGAGCCTCCGAATGCGCAACTTTTTCCCCATTTAACCGATTTCGTATCTCTTACCGTTTTCGAGATCCCCATGCTGTTCAACCTTATCTTGGACAGACTGTATTCATGAATCCTTTCGAACCAAATGCAAAATCAAATTCTGTATATTTTCGTATGGATATAAGATAAAAATTGCTGATATGTGTACAGGGTGATTTACCTAAGGCTGCAAAGGATTATTCCATGTGTTGTCCTCATCGGAATAAGTTGAAATAATGCGAATTGGAACAAAAAATAATGATAAAAAAGAGGGGGAAATATATCATAAATTTTAGCAATGGATCCATTGATCTATCAACGCCCAGCTATTGTCAGCTGACCTAGCACGGGTGATGAGTCTTAGCAAACCGAAACAGTATGTATTGTATCAGCTCGAATTTATTCTAGTCTTCCTAATATGTATGTAGTGATAGACTAACCTGCCATAAAGAAAAAGAAGTGTGCCTTGATAGGCAGTAATTTATGGTTGATCTTCATCTTCTTTGTTGCACAGAATCCTGGCTTTAGATTGGTCCACTGTAACAAAAATGCATTTTTACGTGTTCATTGTACTGATGAGTTCACATAACAGATACGAATAATACATATGTGTTGTAGGACGTGTATGGTTTCCTTAATCAAACTTATCTTTTATCAGTTATATAGCAAGGTCGATAAATTTTATCACAAATAGAAACAATATGATGCGAAAATCAGTTTCTAGCACATCTCGTAGCTACTATATAAATGCTACTGATTTCTGGGAAAAATTCCATAAGCATCACTGTGAAATCAGTTTAGAGGACATACATTTTTTTTAGAAATATCTAGTAAATAGGCAAGCTCACAGCAAATTTTGTTGTCGTCAACCTCAAAATACGTCGAATAACTTTCTAACAAAACACGCTTGTCTATTATATATAACGGCAAAGCTTTGGAATACCTTATACCCATTCTGTTCCCTATCCTTCCATAATAGGAATTCCCTTCCGTGCGCTCAAAAAGATAAAAAAAGTTTTGAATTGACTCGGCCGTTACTTGATGGAAATCAATAGCAAATCTAAAAACTTCACACAAACGATGAGATTGTCACAAAATTCTGAAATAAACTAACCTTGGCTTGCCTAAACTTATACAGTGTGTCCCACTTACCATGCTCACCATGGGTATCTTTTTAACGGTGAGAGATACGAGGTCGGTTAAATGACACCAAATGTGGAGTTTGTCAAGGCCAACTATAATGTGAAAAAATATTTTGATAAAATCTATTCGTTTTTGTTTTATACGCAAAAAACAGATTTTGATCATTTTCATCTCCTCCGTAACTTCTTCATTTATGAAAATATTCAAATAGGAATTTCACATTCTCATGGCAGTTTTTCGAAGTGATTTCGAAAAAAATATGAAATTCATACCAACTCTTCTAGAATTTGAGATAGCAGCACCAACTTTAGTTTTTCAAATGTAGGTCATAGCTCACTATGACTTAGTTACGAATAACTTTTTTTTCATTTTCATTTTCACCTGCTGAAGCTACTGTGTTAGCGAAACTTATCGTGTGATTCAGAATTTTCTGGAAATCTCATCGTTTGTGAAGTTTTCACATCAGATAAAAAAAAATATTACTCACTATTATACATACTTGTATGTTCAGTCATAGATCTAAACACACTGATATTAATAAATAATTATTAATATCCGATATCTTGAATTTTCCTAATGACTCATTGATGATATTGTTATTGCAAATTTCATAGTCATACAGCACGCACCGAGATCAACAAATTGCGTTGTTTACTTAGATCTAATAAATAGATTCCTATAAAATTCAAGGGTCTAGACCAGTATAGGCAGTAGGCCATTATTTATGATTTCTATTTCTGTTTGTATTCTTAGGTAGTAGTATACAATGTACTTTGTTGGTATGTACAGTCGTATTAAAAAAAAAAGCGTACAAGTATATTGGAGGGAGAAATTAACGTCATCCTATTTGCGTAAAACGGGCTATCGGGAATGAATGTTTACCAAATTTTGACAGTACAGTAATCATAGGTTCTCAAAAACACAAAGCATTCGCTGAGCCAATTTTACACAACCAGAACTAGAATGCCGAAATCTTCTATGTTTAATACTTGTACACTTTTTTATTGAATACGACTGTACGTACACATCAACTGGCAATCGTCCTTACGACAAGTCCTTCAGCCATGTGTGTTCTGTGTAGGTTTTGTATGGGAATGTATGAAAAGTGGGCATGGTAGAAATCCAAGGAAGGTGGGCATGATAGGAATTGGGCTTTGGAGGAATTGGGCATCGTGGGAATCTATGAGAAGTAGGTGTGGTGGGAATCTTGTGTTTTCTGACATTTTCTCATAACCTGGCAACGTTGCGCCCTTCGGCAATCTTCTTATTTGACATGAAAGTGGGGATGGTGGGAACTGGACATCGTGGGAATTTGGCATCGCGCTACGAATCCTTTCAAGTTTCAATTTGTACAAAATTGTATAGCCTATGGCTTTTCATGGTTTCGTATAAAATTTGGAAATGTTTCTATGTTGCAGGAAATCTGATTTTTTTTTACAAAACGTCAAAAAATGACAAGATTCGCGCATTGATAACAAATTGCGAAGTGACACTTTATTTCAGTTTCCTACGTTACCATGATACCTTGCACAAAACAATGCGCGAAGTAAAACAGTGCGCGAAGTACCTACTTCGCGCATTGTTATGTAACATATATGAGATATTTATATTTCAACTTTATGGTCCTCAATCGAGCAAACATCCACGAAATCATTCATTTCTGAATATTCAAAAATAACTTTGTTTTATCTCTTGGAGCGGACGAAAGGAAATTCCTATTATGCTCGTGGAACATCGTGCGTAGCTAGGGAAGATAGGGAGAGGAGGCCTTTTGCTAGTTCAACACTATTTTTTATATCAAGCTAAGCATGTTTTTACTTTAGAACTATATTTTTTGACGTTTGTAGAAAAAATGTTGTTTGCAACTCGAGCGCGAAATACTTTGGTCATCTCGACTATTTTTAAAAAAAATCAGATCTCGATCACCAAAGTAGCATTTCGCGCTCTAGATACAAAAATAACTATTAATTCCTGTTGAATACATTCTTAACTATTTTCCAAGAAAAAAATCCGTATCAATCAAGCAATAACAGTGATTTAAATTCCAAAATGTATGAAAAACATATATTTGCAATTCGCAAGTAGGCAGATAACAAATATTAACGATTACCGAATGAAAACATATTGACAATAAGGGTGGTGAGAAGTGGGGTCATCTTCAGTGATATACACTGCTCGTGAACAGCCATGGAACCACCCCAATTTCCGGAAAATGATATTAGGAGTCGAAATAGGTCGAAAATCACTTAAGATCCTGAATCAGGACACCCAATTCACTAACTATTTATATTATTCCTGGAATATTTTCAGTTCTGAAAAATTAAATTGTGTCTCACTTCTCATGAAAGCACCCCCGTATCTAACGTAACTGACTTTATCTTTCCCTTCCTCCTGCAAAGGACCCCGCACTTTTTGTACGTAAAATGGTTCTCGGTGAAATTTTCTGAATTTTCAGTATGTTGTAGAATTCGATGAACTGATTGAACCTGCAGAATCGTAAAGTTCTTTGAAGAACAGATTCTGAGATACAGGGCGTTGAAGTTACAAATCGGTATTTTTCATTTAATTATTTTCTCGAAATTCAAAGATGCCAAGTACAATTTTCTTCGCTCATATCATTAACGAACCTCCATATTACTCAACATAATTCAGATGGTTCAATGATGTAATTTTTTACAGAGTGAAACATATAAACATTTCAGTGATGTCTGAAAATTCGATGTTATAATGAAATATCGAAAAAATAATTTAGGCATGCAATATACTATTTTCATTCTATCATGAATCACAATTCATACATCTCATACAGGGTGATTTGAAAAATTGGTGACACCTAAGACCGATTTATTCATACACATCCTGTATATTCGAGTGAATTGTGTGTCTCCAAAGATAGCTGATACCGTATGAACATGATTTCGTTGAGATATATACGGTGTGATCATGAAGATTTTCGATGATGAAAATGAAAAAAAATCGTGTTTTTTCAAATCACCCTGTTATTCAATATTAACGCGGTGAAATTCCCTAATTATTTTTCGATATATTCATCATTCGCTCCTCAACGCTGTCTTGAAAATTCAGTTTCCTATCATGACGGGTGTCATAGTTATTAATTCAGGAACTTACCATTTGCATGAAGAGTTGAAGAGACTTGTTCACTTACATTCGCATAGTGGCCGATATTTTTCACAAATAGTGAAACGTGAGAATGTGGAGACGAAAATAAGTTTAGTATTCATATACAGGGTGAACATTAGAAATTCAATAACAATAGCAGATATATGAATTTAATAATTAAATGATATTACTACTACCAAATTGTATCATACAAATACTATATATTATCATCCTATTTTGTAGTGGTAATTTTTCAAATCACCCTGTATGAAATGTATGAATTGTGATTCATGATGGAATGAGAATATTGCATGCCTAAATTATTTTTTCGATATTTCATTATAACATCGAATTTTCAGACATCACTGAAATGTTTATATGTTTCACTCTGTAAACAATTACATCATTGAACCATCTGAATTATGTTGAGTAATATGGAGGTTCGTTAATGATATGAGCGAAGAAAATTGTACTTGGCATCTTTGAATTTCGAGAAAATAATTAAATGGAAAATACCGATTTGTAACTTCAACGCCCTGTATCTCAGAATCTGTTCATAACTTTACGATTCTGCAGGTTCAATCAGTTCATCGAATTCTACAACATACTGAAAATTCAGAAAATTTCACCGAGAACCATTTCACGTACTAAAAGTGCGGGGTCCTTTCAGAACCCTACCTTAATAATTACGTGAGATACGGGGGTGCTTTCATGAGAAGTGAGACAAAATTCGATTTTTCTGAACTGAAAATGTTCTTGGAAAACTATGAATAGTTAGTGGATTGGGCGTCCTGATTCCGAATCCGAAGTGATTTTCAACCTATTTCGACTCCTAATATCATTTTCCGGAAATTATGGTGGTTCCATGGCTGTTGGCGAGCAGTGTATATCACTGAAGATGACCTCACTTATTCATTTAGTGCATTTTTGGTATTTCTCTCGCTCCAGCAAATCTCAGAATCCTTACCCAACGATTACGTAATATACAGGGGTGTTTCCATTAGAAGTGTGTCACACTGTATATATTTATGCTTTGAAAAAATTTTAATTTAGTAAATCCAGTACTGATTATGATAAAGTGAAACAATATGCGCAAGTCACTTTCTATTTTCTATATCAATATTGAATAAGTACTGTGATATCGATATCGAAAACAAATATTGTACAGACCTGGTACTATTATTTTTATAACTGCTCCATTAGGAGGATCACCATTTATAACACAAAAAAGAACAGAAGCTCGCGTTTTCTTCTCATTCGCACATCAAATTATTATTCTTCATATTATGTTCATATCAAATAATGCAACACTATCGCGTACTTCGTTGTGCATTGAAAAGCAACACAATAAAAATTAAAAATGAAACGAGTCTGACAACTACTCGAGAGCCAAGTATTTTGTCCACGTTGGTATCACACACTTATTTAGTGTTGTATTTTAAATTTTTAATGGGCGTTGAACTTGATGAGAACCTCCGTTTCGAGCTATTTATATAGCTCCATCCCTTCTATTAGGACCTAAAAGGTATAGGACGATGGTATAGGCATGTATAGGTAGGTCTCGACTTCAGTGGCGTACCTTCTCACTGGTGAAAGAGGTTCTAGGGCTCCCCCCCCCTTCCACGAAACGAAGCAATAAAACATTGATAAGAAAATGTGAGAGCATTAAAAACAAAAATATGCCCCAAAATACCTTGAATAAAATTAGTCTTCATGGTGACTTCAAAGGTACAATTAATACTATAAATATTTTGATTGACTCTAAGATGAACTATATTGGACAAATACGTTGGGACATGGTCGCAAGATTTAAAGAACATATTGCTCATTCCAGATATATTGTGTCCCACATGCTCTGGAGACTAAGTAATAGGGAGACTATACAGTAGGTAGATATATTTTTCAATTTAACATAATTTCTATACAAACAAGTATCATTATCGTTGATTCGAATTTGTCGACTATAAAACGACCTTTACTAAGTTTCTTGAACTTTTAAGCTAATATAAATGAGATAAGTGTACAAAAACATCTCATACTCATATCAACTTCAGCTGATTTGAAGTCTAAACACAACAAAGTACCTAAGTAATCTAAAAATAAATTCAGCCACATCCGTTATCTCTTTGATGAGACTATGAAATGAAACTAACCAAACCACTCATTTCCCAATCGAAATTATTATTTGAATGTATTTTAATGATGTTACTTTCGATCCAATATTTATTCTTGGGTAGTGATATAATACAATCGTCATTTATAACAAATCAATCATGTACTGGGTGTGTTATATTTGTTTTGCTCGGTAAAGATCAGAGTTCAATTTCCAAAAATTAAAGAATTAAAATCAGTTTTTAGCTACCATTACTTTTTTATTTTCCATTTCTCTACCAGGCGTTCTTTATATCTATATTCATTGTATTGAGAAAAATTTGGGAATGATACAATCTCCAATCATGCTTCTGAAAAGACATGTGCTTCCATCTATTATCGAAAGCATTAAGTTCAATACCAATACAATAATCGGTTTCTACTCCTGCAATGGGTCAACTTCAACAACTAGACTACTCCACTTTAAATTCATCTGTTCATAATCAATTTTGAAAATTGTTGAAGAAAAATAGTGGAATCATCTATAGGTAGGTAGGTATCTCTGTATTAATCAGATATTATTGTAACTGTTTTTTAGTTTTTGGGTATTTGGTAGGTACCTTTTGTAAGGAAGTACCACCATCAAGTCATGAAGACTTTGCTGCATTTGATTTAGTCGCTGCCTCACTTTTGATGTTGAAATGTTAATGACTAGCCGTTTAATAATTTTTATGCAGATTTTCTTGAATCATGGATATTATCGTTTAATCATGGATATTATCGTTTTAGTTATATCATAGAGAGATGAAAATTGTGTATATCATGAAGAATGGCTGAAAGATAACTGGACTTCAGGTGTTACTGCGGAGGGTTTGGAATCCGAAATGTGTTGGTTCGAATGAAATCATATAACCTGTTAGTGAGATATATAATTCCCATATCCCTGATACGAATGATTTTATTTAATATCCGATGGACCAATGTGAAACTCAACATGTGGATTAGAATACTTGTAGCACAGTCTAATATTCTCTAAAGTGTGCTTGTAGTGTTAGCACCATATGAGAACGATATGAGTTTCAGACTGGTCCATCGGATATTATGTTTAGACGAGGGCGAAATATTCACGAAAAGATTGACTCTTTGCCACTGACTTAGATCAGTTTTAATCGCGGCACGTTTAGATATTCTCAAAAGGGGCATTTTTCCCTTTCATTCGCTTCTTGTTTCAACTTGTTATCACTTGACGGAAGTATGTCCGGAATGATAGGAGCAAATAATACATACTAATAATACACGAATGATCGCAAGCCAAGTTATGAACATACCACGCTGCAGATTGACTCACAACCGAAAATTCGTCACCTACCTTGGCCCTAAACTTTACAATCAGCTACCGACATATATTAAAAATATCAACAACCACAAAAATCCTATTCATTAAGGAATAGGAATATTCTACATTGTTTTATAAATATCCAAACATAATTTTGTAATACTGATATATCGACCTGAATAAATCTATTTATCTATCTATCTATCTATCTATCTATCTATCTATTCAATTGGTATCGGATGGTATAATTCTTATCTCGTTATCAAATCACGAAATCTAGTGCACATTTCCGCACAGGAAAGTGCAATTTTTTCATCATTCTGTTCAGGATAGTGATTGGCACAGGTGCTGTTTGATGAACTACAATGTTTTTACTTTCCTTTGGGACATGTATCATTTCGTTATCAGATGACGGTAGAAATCTACAGACTGCTAATCGTTTTCTCTATCAGAAAGAGTATCTCTTATATTGAATAGGAATACCTATTCTCAGATATAATTATGAACACAAAAAATGGATATATATATAAAGAAAAACATTGAGAATTCTGATTCTCTATGTCAAATATCAATTCTCTCGGTTTATTCAACAGAAAACAACTACTTTGCTGGCTATATGCCACGACGAACATTGAATTACATCTATCGAACACACACGATAAGAATTTGAAAACAAAATCTTCTGAAGTAGAGAATTTGCATTCTCCTTCATATGAAGATATGCACATACTATCATTCTGAATATTCAACAGAAAACAACTACTTTCCTGGCTATTTACCACGTCGAACATTGAATTATACATAAAGTATAAATAAGTACACACAGGTTCATGACAGACACGAACATATGAAGGAATGTCGATTTTATTTATTTCACTATTTTCAAACCAGGAAAGCCACCCTAAATGTAAGTATCTATCAATGTTGTTTTCTGTAAAGTGTGATAAGTGTTTTATTTTCAACGATTGTTATTTTACATAACTTATTTTGCTTTTATCAAATCCCCTCATTTTAAAATATCATTTTGATATGTATGTTCTTGTTTTTACTTCAGTGTCCTGAAGATGAAACAATAAAGTTTCGAAACGTCGACATTTTAAAAATTGGTTTTCTTCAACATTTCATGGTCGCCATTCTATTCAAATAAGAAAGTTGAGGTGCACTTCGGTGTGACCCTGTATACCTACGATTTATTCAATTGCATATTTCGAGTCGAGTGAGCATCATCACATAATATACTGTGTGCCCAAATTTCAAGTCATTCGATCGCGCGGTTGATTTTTTACCGGCGGCTCATTTTAGCTGGGACACGGTGTATACATATCTCTTATATGTTCAGAAATATGTCGGGTTCATTTTTTTGGTCAAAGATATGTGGATTACCTTGCGTTTCCGAGTATCGCGCTTGTTTTTGACCTCGGTCAAGGGAAATCCCAGACGAGGGAAGTCCGAGCAGATACCAATCGAGGTGTGACGTCTCTTGGCATGGCCTACCAAGAGATACAAGATTTCGGCGATCGAGTTGGACAAATGAAGAGGCCTTGGTCAGTACTCAGTCTTGGTGGAACTGTGTGCGGATCAAGTAGTGCCATGATCAGCTCTGGTGGGATCACCACGTGCTTGTTGCTAGTAGCAGCCTCGCTATCGATTGTTTCTTGCGAGAAATGTGAGTGAATTGTTGATAATGATTGATTGATACGCCCCCATTTATTCCATATCGAATTTCGCAGTTTTTTTTATGAGCCAATGAGTACCTACACAATTCTTCGGTTTCCAGAATGTCTGTTTTACATGTCAAGGTCATGAAGATGTTCATTAGTCATAAGATTAACAGATCATTATAGGTAATTTAGTCAGTGTTATTATCTTGTCGTTATTTATAAATAAATAACTTGTTTGGGTGATGTTTTTATCGCTATAGAGATTTTTTTTGATAACGTAAAAACTGATGGTAGTTATATACCTACAGGGTGTTCCATTGAATGTTCAATTCTTTGGCATTCGATTCCTTGACCAAAAATAAGAAAACAACTTTTTTTTATGTTCGGGTTCCCACGAAAAGGGATATCCTGTAATGTCCAGAGAACATCGTGAGAACCAAGGGAAATAAGGTAGGAATTGTTGTTCTTCTTAAATTTCTGGAGGTTAAATGCCTCGAGGAACACTTCCCTTGGCAATGTCTTCCAGAGCCTCGCTGCTTGTTGAATGTACGAATCTTTGGAAAAAGATGTTCTGCAGGTCTCCAAAGTGACCACGAAGGAGTGAGAAGCCTCAACTCGACGATTTCAGAAGAGCATCGTCCATGAAAATATCTGTAAAATAGAGCCAGATCGCCAAATTTTCTACGGTGTTCCAGAGAAGTGAGTGAGTTTGTGAGCGAGGCATCACCCACGAGACGAATTGCCCTTTTTTGGACAGAATCCAACAGTTTCAGGGTATGTTTGGGTGCTGCACTCCAAATATGGGAACAGTATTCCAGGACAGGTCGGATCTGTGCCTTATAGATCATAAGCAGCTGACTGGAAGTGAAATAGCTCCTGGCCCGAAACAGAAAACCAAGTTTTTGGGATGCACTTTTAGCAATTGATCTCACTGCGAATGATAGTTCCAAAGGGACTTTCAAATTCTTGAAGAGGCTTTCATAATTTTTTCCATTATTCTTTTTTCATCTCTTGGAGCGCACGAAAGAAAATTCGTATAATGTTCGAAGAACATCGTGCGTTCCTAGCTTTTTTAACAATTATCGTTGCTGTTTCAACATTTTCTTATATCCAGCTCATTGCGCTGTATCTTAAAAAAGGAACAACTCATGGACAAACGTTCATAGAAATTGTCCTTCTTTTTTTAAGTGGAAATCTGATAGTTTCTTGAAGTTTCGACATCAGTTTCCTTTTTGTTTAGTCGCCAACCGGCAACCACTAGTAATCAAGAAAAATCTGGTTTGCTTATAATAGATGTATGGTATTTCAGAAGATTATTCCACGAAATATCGAAGGAGTATAGAAAGAGAGAATTTTACAACATCAACAACAATAGAAAGAGAGAGAAATAGAAACTTTAGTGAACTTTGTTCTCTCGTATTTCAGATAGAATATGTGTGGTTGATGGGAAAGGACACTTTAAGAAGTCCTACAGGTATTGCCCAAACTTAGATAAAGCACCCGATAGCAAGGTAGAATGCGTTGTAGCACCAGACAGGTTAGTATTTTGTATTTTTCAGTGGTTAAATCATGAAATAGAATGATGTCAGAGTTTGTCAAGGATTTTGTTTGTTCAAAATGTGAAATTCATATCCTTCATAAAAATTCAAATGTCGTTTAATGAAGTTGATCCTCTTCAGCAATCAAGATAATTTTTATGGCTATGTTATGTAATAAGAAATGCCTCAACATTGATAGAAAATCATGTTGATATAATCATCCTATGCGGATCAACGTTTCTGCAAATTCATATTGCCATTGCCGACATCAGCAAGACTCGAGAAAGATAAAATATGAATTTGGCTATAGATTATGGAATTGAATTTCAATGCACAGTCGATCCTATTCTGTCATCATAATTAATTATAAGTAGTCGGTAATACTGTATAAGTACTTCGGAATTACCTGTTATTATTGCGAAATCAACATTCATACGTTATATATGCGCTAAGGTTAAAACCGTTCCAACTCCAACAAATACATATACATATTTAATAATATCTTATATCTGATTTGTCAGTTATGTAACAAATCCAGCAAACTGGTATTCAGATCTGATGACTCATTCTAGATTTTGGGTATTCAATAAGTTACTTACGTCTATTTGATCATCCACTTATCTTATTTGAGACTGTGAAAGAATTCTAGTTTCCAGAACAGACAAATCTAAAGTAAATATCTTCCTGTGATATTTCCTCTGCAGTATTGCAGTTTGGACTTTATCATTCCTGAAATCAGCTGATCATTAAAATGAGAATGCGAATGTTGGTTACTTTTAATCGAAATATGTTAGGTAGTTTCCAAGAGAAAATTTCAATATACCGGGTACCCAAGAAGTCTGAAACCGGTGGGATACCTCGAGAAATTTATATCGGATAGATATCAAACACACGTTTTTAAAAAAACCTAACCATGGAAATCAGACCAAAACCATTGAGTATTCACACTAGTGTATATAATCAAGGCCAAAACCCAATTTTTCATCCCAAATTCGCATTCTATTACAACCTATATGCAAGCTCCATTCGAGTCATTTCGATAACTGAAAATATACTTATCTTACGAATTTTCCATGACTAATTTGGTTGTATCATCGTTCTCTAGGACTGACTGTCTAAGAAGAATACAGAAAGGAACAGCAGATTTCTCAGTGTTCTCTCCAGAAGATTTAATAACTGCTTCCAATGAAGGAATACAGCTATTGGTTACCAACGAACTGAGGTCTTTCAATTCTGGTACGATTTCTTAAAGTTAAGGAACATGGCATTAAATTGAGTGACAGAATCTTTCATGCATGAAATATTCCAAAAACATATAAGTACCTATAGTTTGATCTACGTTATTTTCTTATTATAAATTCATGAGATGTATCATAGATAATAAACTATCATTTGGAAATTGAATGTCTCTTACGAGTTGTTGTTGATTTGTTTTTGTTCATCATGCTTTCTTGCCTGTTTTCAGTTTATTGAGTTGAAATCATTGAAATTTCTGATTGGTAAACAAATATCACGAATAATACTGGACTATTTTTTTAGAAGAGAATGAATACGAGGTAGTGGCAGTCATAGAAAATACATCCGGTATAACGACCAGACACGACCTAAAAGGCAAACGATACTGTCATCCTGGCTATGGATACTTGAATGACTGGACCAGAATTTTGTCCAATGTAAGTTAAATTGGTCAACTCAATCATCGTATCATCGAATTCTTCAATTGTTATTTCAGTTTTTCGAAGCTACGGTAGTATCGCCATCTTGCGAACCAAAACTCACTCTAACCGAAAATAGAGTTAAAGCTGCAGCAGAATTCTTCAAATCAGCCTGCAAAGCTGGGCCTTGGGTAGAAAATCCAATTCTGGATTACAATCTGAGTAAGTATATCCTGTGGCTATCTCCCAATTTTCCAGATCTATCTTCCAGAGACAAACGACAATATATATGACGTTTTCATTGAAACAAAAAAAGGGCGATTCTTCGATTAACAATTTTTTTGCATGATAACAACTTGGTTTATTATTATTCTTCAGATTATGGTAATTTTGCACTTATCATGCGATGGGTTTTTTCCGAAATTTTTTTTTGGTACTTACGTATTTTTGTCTGAGAAACACGAATTTGATAATGAAAATGTGAACAAACCATTATTTATTAAGATATTTCACTATAAAGTTACAAATTTCACCTTCTTTTCCGCCTGTCTTTGGATCGCATTTAGAACAATTTGACCTTCTTCTTCCATATATCGAAGACTGGAACCTTTGGCACGATAATACACTACACTGTTTTACCACTAACCAAACCGATTTTTTAACGCCTCGACACGTGTTTCAGGAGAAGATTAAGATGAGCATCTTCAGGAGAAGATTAAAACTGATTAAAACAGTTTTAATCTTCTCCTGAAGATGCTAACATAGTTAGCGAAACACGTGTCGAGGCGTTAAAAAATCGGTTTGGTTAGTGGTAAAACAGTGTAGTATCTTCTTTTTCCATCATTGGACAATTTATATATATCACACAATGTTGGGCACATTTTTTTTTATTATATGAGTCAACTAGAAATATGATTTATCCATGTTTAGTGAAAAGAAGGAAGAATATCATTTGAAATAATGGCGTGTGTAATGTCATTCCAAAGCAATCTATTCACAATTGACATATCGTATTTGGATTGCATATAGATTAAATGGCCGTCATCTGGTATGCTTGCTTACTAAATAGTAAAAACTCGCCATAAAAATCATATTTCCTGTTGAATTTTCCAGCTTAAAATGTGTCATTGAAGTACATCATGAGTATATGAAGTGTCCAATGACAAAATAAAAAGAGCAAGTACCTCTAAATGCATCCAACACAAGGGGGAAAAGAAGGCAAAATTTCGAACTTTTTCTTGAAATATCTCGATAAATAGTAGTTTGTTCACATTTTCATTATCAAATTCGTGTTTTTCAGACAAAAATACGTAAGTACAAAAAAAAATTTCGAAAAAAAAAAACCCATCGCATGATGAGTGCAAAATTACCCAGCATTTTTGCGAATGTGAATAATTATACACTCGGAAACGGCGAGTTCAACAAGAAAAATATATCATATTTTTTCTTTCAAACCATATGAGCGAGTGGACTGATTATTGGCATTTATTTAGTCCACTGCGTCGTTCGGACCTAAATTAGTTTTTGCAACACTTCTCGCGCTTTTTTTTTACGTAAATAATCTGTCCATGCGTTGTTCAAAATTGTTGAATTTCAAAGCTCATTTCAAACGTACCGTCATGACCGCCATTTGACGATACGTCGAATAAATCGTGACGTCAGGTTTTGTGCTGTTTAATTATTGGTCAGATAATCTTCCATTTCCACTCATGAAGCAAGGTTGTCAAGTCTCCAATTATAATCGAGTTATCAAAGAGATTTTGGAGTCCTGTCTTTGAATTGAACATAATAGGAGGAACCCATGATATTTTAGTTCATTCTTGACTTTATTGAGCGACCAACATGTCGAAATATTTCTTATTCTCCATGACAGAATATCATGTAAATGTTGGAGACTTGGCAACATTGTCCTGAATGCTGAGAACTGTCAAAACCATGCTCACAATTCGTGCGCTGTTGTCACGTTCACCGATTCGAATGTCCTCTAGTGTGAATTAATATAATTATTATTTACACAAAATCATAAGCAATGAACCACAAATCATAGGGGAACATTTTGAGACAATCAAATTTTTATTGCTAATTAGGAATATTACTAATACTTGTGATTGTGATTTTATGAATCATTGAATAACTATTTTTTCTGAAGTTCCCAATCGAACTTACAAAATCGTCGCGTCAGTTTTTACTGGCGACTATTCGACTATTGATCTCGAGAACCAATCAGAATAGACCATTTTCACGGTTTCTTCTGTATTCTAGCGATATTTTTAGTTTATTAAATTTTATCGGACTTGCTCTACCAATACAGAAGCCGAATTGACCCACACGTGACCAACAAACCTCGTTTATCAGCGATAAAATTTTGACATCGTGTCTGGTCAAGATTGCTTTGGATTCAAATCTGAGACATTAACCTAAGTTCCTACTTTATTTTATTTACTTATAATTTGCGTTAGTGAGACATTTTGTACGAAAGGCGAGACAATTTTATTCTGGCTGGACGTTTCATGTGTAATTTAAAAAGTTTGCATATTTGTTGTCGGTCTCTGACACAACAATACTAGAATTCAAATTCCTTTTTGAAGTAATCTTCTTCAATTAGTCAAGTTATTGTGACTGATAAATTACCAGATGATGTGGGGCAACTGATAGGGTTGATGCGCTAGGATACGACGGTCGGTGGTTCGAGTCCCTCGGCAACGATATCTTTTTTTAATTATTTCATGTCACATGAATTCAATTTATTTTTTTTTGAATTGGATAGCAATTGTATACACTCTTTTGAGAGCAACCATCTCCAAGATAATAAAAAAATACTGTTTGTTAAAATTGTACATTCCACTTTGTGAATAACTATAAGTAGGTAGTTAATTTCTAAAAAATTGAATTCTGTATTTCATCACTATCATTATGTTCTTCTTCGCAGTTTGAGTTGGAATATACCTAAATTGTGTTTCCTATTTCTTATATATATTGTCTCATTCAATCATGAAATAGTCATACGAATACAACTCGTGATACTATTTTTCCTGGAAATATTATCACTTCTGGTATTATATATGATAAATTTCTAGCCGTTTGAAAATTACCGTGGTATTAATGATGATTAAGCACCTTAAAATCGACCAAAAAATTTTCACAAAATATGAAAATGAAAGGTGGTATATTTAAGAAAAAAAAAAGTAGTCCATTCGCCTATTTTCTACCTATAGAAACTATATTGAACGTTTCAAAATGTGCAACACTTAGAAACAAATTCTCCATCGTTATTCCTTTTTTTTTTGCAGAAAAGAAGTACCCATCGCTGTGCGAACTATGCGGCAACCCCGCGAGCTGTTCCACCCAAGACAAGTACTGGGGCAGAAGGGGTTCCCTGCTCTGCCTTACCGACGGAGCTGGGGACGTCAGCTGGGCTCGCTTGGATGACGTCAGGCAGCATTTTGGATTGGCCCCAGGGGGGGGCAGAAGCGGCCCCAGACAGGTAAAGATAGGGGTTATTCGGTGTGTTCGGCTTTTTTGTTGTAAGGTTTTTGTGTATTCCGAGTACTTAGTGTTGTGTTCTTATAATCAATAAAACAACTTCGTTGTTCAATACTTCACTTATAATAGCAGTTACGAATATTATCACAGACCATATACATGTATGAAAATGGTAACCGAACAAAACCTCGTCAACGATCCCTAATTCCCGACTGACTGTTCAGAGATGCCGGATGTCACGTGATGATGCTGACGACTCCTTATTGTTAACCACGCTTGTGCGCGCCAAATATGAATTCAAATAGACAGGTTGCGACGATTTGAACAAAAATTATGTTTTTTCTTTGACGGGAAAAGAATTTAGCATCTCATCTCTGTTGGCAGGTTATAAAATGTCACTTTTCATAAATTACTTTTTTCCCGTGGGAAAAAATAGTGAGTACTTTTTTCCCGGATATATATCACATATATGAACACTGTTGGTGGCTTTTGTTGTGCTATAGTTCCGAAAAATGAGTCAATAATACCGTCTCCGAGAAAGAACTGCAAGTCCTTCCATCTTCCATTCGACTTCGCGGTTACGTATATTACTAAACAACCACTAAATTCGAAATTTTTTGAAATCAAATCACAGAATTAGACTGACAGGAGTGACATCAGATATTTGATTACTTCAAAAGAATGATAAAGATGTCTACAACGCAGGTGTCCCTACTGTTAAAAACTTAAAATTTCACGTCGATAATTTTCAGATTTTAAAATAATGTAATATCTTCTCAATATTGATTCGTCCTTTCTTCTGTCACAGAAAAAAATAGTGTATTATACACGGGAAAAATATTACAGTTTAGCTCACGGTTTTTTGTATCCCTCCGCTACGCGTCGGGAGACAACACAACCTGGAGCTAAAATCTACTACTTTTTTCCCTTGTATAATAAATAACTATTATAGATTCGGAATATGACATTTTACGTACGTCTAGGAAAAATGCTATCCCAATGACGGCTCAATAATTGAACATGTCCTTAGCTATTCACGAATTGACGAAGATGATTTCCACTTGAATGGCATTATTATTTATGCATATAATAGCGTTATTTGGCATGAACACTCCTAACCACTTCATTTTGTTGGCCTTTTCACAGTTTTACTTGGTATCTCGAACAAACCTCTCCAATCTCGAGTGACAATGAGTGACAGGCTGACAGTAAGAAAATTTGTCAACAAATAATGCAGGATCATGAATGCAGGTTATGTTGAATAGCTCATTTGACACAGGAAAGAGATGACGCCACTTGCCGTCCCTTCAAAATACAGGGCGATTTGGCGATTTTCGCTGAATGAACAGTCATGTATTTATAACCCGTCAGACAGTCCATTTAGCCGTCATTGGCTATCCTTTGAATTAGGGGCAAAAATATCTAGATTCGGAATCCTTGTGAATTTTAAGTACTGATGACGTCAGGCAGCATTTTGAATTGGCCCCAGGGGGGAGGCAGAAGCGGCCCCAGACAGGTAAAGTTAGGGGTTGCTTGATGTGTTTACGGACACTATATGACAAGCATTTCGGACTCGCCCCTGGGGGTGCAGAAACATCCCCAGAGACCCCAGACAGGTGATGATGGGGTTATTATTATAGTGAGCTATTTTCGGATGATTTTTTTAAAATCAATGAAATTATTAGGCAATCTTCTGGGACCGATTAGGGTATGGAAAATATTCTGACAATGTCGTCTAAGTAATGATCTTTGGATTTCTAAGCCTATTAAGCATCGAAATGTCATTGCATTCGGGCCACAGCCAACTTCATGTATTTCAGTAAAATGCAATTTAACGGCCAATTGATGAACGAATATCAAATTATGATACATAGTTGAATAGAGAATTCCAAGGCAAAAAAGAAAGGCTACAGAAATATACAGGGTGCCATTTGAAAAAAAAAGTTGGGTCTACTTCCGATCAAACAGGTGGTTGAAGAAAATTGTCATTGAATTCAAGGGAAGCGCCATCATCGATAATATAACCCTTGTGAATTTCAAATTTTTATCTCTTCAAATAAAAAAACTACAGGCTGTTACATATGTGTACTGTGTCACCCGGTATACTGTGACTTGAAAAATCCAATTATTCAAAAATTGTAATGTCGATATAATATTTTGTTTTGAATATTGATATTTGTTTCTTTTTTCTCCGATTTTGCTGTAGTTTTTGTGTATATAGATAATTTTGAGTATTATATTTTGAAAAACTTTTTTTTTCAAATCGCTCTAGAATTACGACCGAATTGTAACACACTCTGTATGTATGATAGTTCGAAACATGTCCAAATAATCCGAGATAATCCTTTGGTGGAATTTGGTGGAAATGACACGGTGTGTCTTGTCTCTAATGGGCTTATATCACAAAAAAAAATTATTTAATAATTCGATAGAACTTGCCCAATCTAGCTCACCACCGCAAACCGTTTCTTGCTGTGAGCTCCCTACGTTTCATAAAAAATTATTGAAATCCCCGATTATTCGGACCTCTGAAAGCGAGGCGATGATGTGACGTCAAAACCCTAATACTGAAACAAGACTATTCCAGACAGAGATGAATGATATACATGATTTCTGACAGAGTGAAGTAGTGCGAGATCGCAGTTGAAAGAATTAATATATCAGTTGCCTCAGTCTCCGTCGGGCGTTTGGTATTTTCTTTTAACTATGGCGAGATGAGGTTTCTACGTCATAAGAGGGTCCGTTTTCAGAAGGTTCTATTATTTATGTCCAAAAATAAAACATTCCCGTTAATTTTTCGATCGAATTATGTCGTCAATCATTATTTATGTATAAAAGGATCATTATAAACATGGTTTGAGTTAAAAGTTCTACTAAGGTGTACACGCCCATACATTGAACACATTTTTTTTTCCTGATATCAAATTTGAGTTCAGTGAAAATTCGTGAAGATAAAGTTTCGGCTCCTCCACCATTTTCATGACTACTTAGAAAAGCCGAGTAGAGGGTGACTGTTTATATTTTACTCGGGAGCTATCTTAGTTGATATTTGGGGTAAAAGTGAAGTATTTTTTAAGGGCATTCAGGATCTATTACTAGAAAATGCGGAAAAGCATAGTAAACCCGAAAAATTTACATGAAATGGTATTTTTTGAATGGAACAGCCTAGCCTGTCTTTTATTTTTCTAATGGTAGATTTCTTTCTTCTGATTTCATATATATATTTCTACTTTACTAGCTGACCCGGCAAAAGCTGTTTTGCCATCAACATATTATTTTTAAAAAATATTTCTTTTATTTAAATATTTATCAACACACTTTCATTATTTCATTTTATACTACTTTTTAGTTTGGCTATCTATAAAAGCGTGTTTCTTTCAAACTATCCTATTTATTTTCTACTATTTCTAGTTTGACTATCTATAAAAGCATGTTTCATTAGTTTTTCCCAAGCTCCATTAATTGCAATACCTGACCCGGCAAACGTTGTTTTTTATACACAGAAATATATAATATATACATATTTTATATACTTCTATTATTTTGTTTTCTACTTCTTTTTAGTTTGACTGTCCATAAAATTTCTTTAGTTTCTCAAACTACTATTTATTTACACGCCCATTATATTCATCGAGGTATACCCGCTTTAGGTACAGCTTCCTGTGTCCGGACGACACCACCAGGCCCCTGAACAGCTCGACGCCCTGTGTGTGGGTGGTGAAACCTTGGCCGGTGGTGGCATCTGGCAGGAGCAAGGCCAACGAGGTGCAGCAGCTGGTGTCGAGCCTGTGCCACAAGGACCACGACACGTGGCGGTTCAGCCTGCTCAACCTGATACAGACCTCGTACTCGACGTTGTATCAGACGCCGAGCGTCGAACCCATCGAGAGTTATTTGGACCGAGCAGAAGGTAAAATAGTTATTTATTATACAAGAGGGAACAAAGTTGTACACTTTAGCAACAGGTTGTGTGACAAAAAAACGTGAGCTAAAATCTAATATATTTCCCCTGTATAAAACACTATTGTTTCTGTGACAGGAAAGAGGGCATATTAATATTGAGAAAATATTACATTATCGTCGCCCTAGAAGGTACTATCTGGACCAAGTATAGTTGCTCAGGATCGTGCTGTGAACTTTTGACTCCATCCATTTCGTCCCATTTCAATCGACCAGATTTTTTGTTCTGATTAAGTATATTCGAATGGGTTGAAGTTTTTATCAGTTTATTTTTTTTCCTTTCTTCATTCTCAAATAAATGGTTCCAGAAGGATTTTCTATTGTAATACTTGAACAAGGTTCTAACTGACAAATATACGATAATAAAATACATCTTTGTTTCATAAAATAATACGAGAAAACTAATTTGAAATGTTCTAAGTGCCATCAGATTCACTGTATAGGTAGTAATAATAGTTGTAGTAATAATGTTGATAATATTTTGCCGGAAATATTCGGTGATTGTTACGACAGCTTGTTGCCTAGTAATTTCGTGAATGACATTGTTATCAAAACTACGAGCTGTAGGCGAGTAGTTTTGGATCAATGTCATGAGCGAAATTAGAGCAGCAAGCTGGAGTATTTCAATCGACGAATATTTCCAGGAAAAATACTATCACGAGTTGTATTCGTATGACTATTTCATGTTTGAATGAGACAATAGATATAAGGAATAGGAAACACAATTTAAGTATATTTCAACTCAAACTGCGAAGAAGAACATAATGATAGTAATGAAATACAGAATTTAATTTTTTAGAAATTAACTACCTACTTATAGTTATTCACAAAGTGGAATGTACAAATTTGATAGACAGTATTTTTTTTATTATCCTGGGGATGGTTGCTCTCAAAAGAGTGTATACAATTGCTATCCAATTCAAACAAAATAAATTGAATTTATGTGACATCAAACGATTAAAAAAAAGATATCGTCGCCGAGGGCTCGAACCATCGACCTTCGTATCGTAACAACCCTAACAGTTGCGCTACATCAGCTGATAATTATATTAGTGAGTCACAATAATTTGAGTGATTGAAGAAGATTACTTTAAAACGGAATTTGAATTCTAGTATTGTTGTATCAGACCGTCAACAAATATGCAAACTCTTCAAATTACACATGAAACGTCCAGCCAGAATAAAATTGTCTCGCCTTTCGTACAAAATATCTCACTAACGCGAATTATAAGTGAATAAAATAAAGTAGGAACTTAGGTTATTGTCTCAGATTTGAATCCAAAGCAATCTTGACCAGACACGCTGTCAAAATTTTATCGCTGATGAACGAGGTTTGTTGGTCACGTGTGGGTCAATTCGGCTTCTGTATTGGTAGAGCAAGTCCGATAAAATTTAATAAACAAAAAATATCGCTAGAATACAGAAGAAACCGTGAAAATGGTCGATTCTGATTGGTTCTCGAGATCAAGAGTGGAATAGTCAAAAATATATTTCGAATTATCATAATGGAGAAGTACAAAATTACTGATTCAATGATCTTCCAGGAATGCAGGGAAATAGTTTCTGTCAGTCTCGTTCTTGCAGGATTCATTTTTTTGAATGCGTTCACCTTCTCCCAATGCAATGTGAACAATTTTTCCAAGGGTTTTGGAAAAACTTGAAAAAATTCTGGTGACAAAATTTTCGGAATAAATCAAGAATTGATCAAAAATTGATGAGAAAATGATTTGGAAATTTTCAATGGAATAAGAATAATAAGATTCAATTCTTTAATTTACAAAATTTTTCTTGAAAAATCAGGTCTCATTCAATATGCCAAAATAAAGGTATGGTTTTAAGAAAAAAAATCAATGACGTAATTACTTCAAGCTTTCAAATAATATGAAAAAATGCAAATTTGGCTAAAATTGGCTCTCATTTAATTCCATCCAAGAATATAATTTTTCCTCTTCTTAGATTACAATGGCGTATGTTTCGTAAAAACTTCGTCAATTTCACGACACGCCCTACTTGTAATGAAAAAATCCCCAATATAAAATCACTGTTTTTGAGAACTTTTATTGCATATAACTGAATTTTTGCCTCTCAGTAGTTTTTTCTGTGGTAGAACTTTGAATTTTTTTTCAGTAAAATTTCGCTGAACGATTATTCTAACCTCTACATTGAAGAGAAATTGTGAACATTTGAAAAAAGAATCAGTCAAAGTTTTGTTTTCACCAGGATGAGCTGAACATGATGAAAAAACAATTCTACCTTCAGACCTTCTCAAAAAAATATTTAATTGATTAGAAAAGCTTAGTGTGGATTTATGTAGCATCAATTAAAAATGATGACCCTGTAAATTGGATTGGTCCATACTCCATCCTATGATGGAGATGGACTAACCCCAAAATATTTCCCGGTTCTGTGTTTATTTTTTCTTCTCATTATTCCTATTATTTTTCAGCCTTGGGCCCACCTGTGATAGCAAAATACCAAAACTGTGTCTACAATATTATGAAAATATGTTCTATGGTTATCTTGAATGGCTTGGAAAAGACATTTGCACTTGCGTATTTTATATTTTCAATTGTTAATTTGGTTTCCATAAATAGTAGCATTTTAGCTACTCCTTACCTGATAATTGGTAATGGGCTTATATATAAAAAAAATTATTTCATAATTCGATAGAACTCCCTCAAACTAGCTCACCACCGCAAACCGTTTCTTGCTGTGAGCTCCCTACGTTTTATGAAAAATTATTGAAATAACCGATTTTTCGGACCTCTGAAAACGAGGCGATGATGTGACGTCAAAACCCTAATACGGAAACAAGACTATTCCAGACAGAGATGAATGATACATGATTTCTGACAAAGCACCAAGATTGGTGAATCGGCAAGTTGATTTTTGGGACAAAGATAATAAGAACAAGAAGAAGATCAATTCTAACCTATATTAACTTTTTGCAGCTCCATGTAAAACGGGTCAACAAAGCAATGTTGCTGCGTTTATGAAATATATTGGATTATTGTGAAATTGTAATAGTGCAAATGGTTTTGAGATTGAGACATTTCGTTGTCTAGAGATTGTTTATATTCCAATGATTCAACCTACAATCGACAACTTGAATATATTCTTCTGCAGTAGTGGTAATGGATATCAAAAGATATTTCAATATCGATTTCGATCTCTCGGATATTTTGTTTGGATGATATGGCAACAGAGATAAGTGTCAGTTTTAACTATGGCGAGATGAGGTTTCTACGTCATAAGAGGGTCCGTTTTCAGAAGGTACTATTATTTATGTCCAAAAATAAAACATTCCAGTTAATTTTTCGATCGAATTATGTCGTCAATCATTATTTATGTATAAAAGGATCATTATAAACATGGTTTGAGTTAAAAGTTCTACTAAGGTGTACACGCCCATTGATAATTGTGAATTGATGCTGCATAGATCCACACTTAAAATCGTACTACAAAAAAATCTACTGAGATACGAAAATTCAAAGTTTCAACGGAAAGAAAAATGTTTCCAGGTTTCCTGAGTGCCAACAGTTTTTCCGGCTGCCATCCCCCTAGAACCATCCGCATTTGCACCACATCCATCATCGAAACTGCCAAATGCTCCTGGCTGCGAGAATCGGCCGCCGTGTACGGCATAGAGCCGGACCTGGACTGCATCAAGGCCGACAACACCAGCCACTGCATGCTGGCCCTCAACATGGGCGCCGCCGATATCGTTATGGTGCCCTCTGACGTCATTTACGCCGCGCGGGAAAAATTCAATTTGAAAACGCTTTTCTACGAAACGGTGCTGGACACAGAAAAGTACCTTACAGTGGCTGTTACGCGACCTGGTTCTGATATTAAGAGCCTTGAAGACCTCAGGTGAGAATGTAGGTGGGGTATTCTGCTCAGATTTATTCATAAATCATTACAAAGTACACGCCAACAAGCCTGATCGCCGAACACGGATAAATGAAAGAATTCGCGAATGGTGGGGATAATAAAAGACACCGGGATTCATTCATAAATCATTTGAAAATTGCTGTATAATACATATTATTTGCTATTTGCTATCAACCCTTTCAAGTTGATCCGGTACACCGTATTTTAATGTAGATATTGTGCCTATTTTCCGAAAATGAAGGTTTATCGAACCTTTCCACAGATAATTCTAATCCTTCAGGTTGGGAAAGTAGGATATACAGGGTGTCTCATGAATAATGGATCAAAAGAAGTGAGGTAGTAGGGGGAGTCATTTGCAATCAAACTCACGGTATATGTGGTTATCAAATTAATGATGGTTTAGAAGTTGTTCAATTTTTGTGAGAAATGCGACCCATTTGAAAAAAATTGATGACATAATTTGAAAATCGAATTGAATATTTCATTCAATGACAAAATTCAAGGAAACCAGATTTTCAGAATCAGCGGTTCACGCAATGCAGTAGGCTTATACTGGTCGAAAAATATTTTTTCCTGATTGCCCTAAAAATCCCAAAAAATTCATAGACACTAATTCAGACCCATAAAGAACGAATTTGATGTCAGATTTGAGAAATAACCTTTCTCCTAGATTTTCAAAATCAGCGGTTCACGCGATGCAGTAGGCTTATACTGGTCGAAAAAATTTTTTTTCCTGATTAACTTGAAAATCCCAAGAAATTCATAGACACTAATTCAGACCCATAAAAAACGAATTTGATGTCAGATTCGAGAAATAATCGTTTCCCTAGATTTTCGAAATCAGCGGTTCACGCGATGCACTAGGCTTATACTGGTCGAAAAAAATTTTTTTCCTGATTGACCTAAAAATCCCAAAAAATGCATAAACACTAATTCAGACCCATAAAGAACGAATTTGATGTCAGATTCGAGGAATAATCGTTACCCTAGATTTTCAAAATCAGCGGTTCACGCGATGCAGTAGGCTTATACTGGTCGAAAAAATTTTTTTTCCTGATTGACTTAAAAATCCCAAAAAATTCATAGACACTAATTCAGACCCATAAAGAACGAATTTGATGTCAGATTCGAGAAATAATCGTTTCCCTAGATTTTCGAAATCAGCGGTTCACGCGATGCAGTAGGCTTATACTGGTCGAAAAAAAATTTTTTCCTGATTGACCTAAAAATCCCAAAAAATGCATAAACACTAATTCAGACCCATAAAGAACGAATTTGATGTCAGATTCGAGAAATAATCGTTTCCCTAGATTTTCAAAATCAGCGGTTCACGCGATGCAGTAGGCTTATACTGGTCGAAAAAATTTTTTTTTCCTGATTGACTTAGAAATCCCAAAAAATTCATAGACACTAATTCAGACTCATAAAGAACGAATTTGATGTCAGATTCGAGAAATAATCGTTTCCCTAGATTTTCAAAATCAGCGGTTCACGCGATGCAGTAGGCTTATTCTGGTCGAAAAAAATTTTTTTCCTGATTGACTTAAAAATCCCAAAAAATTCGTAGACTCTAATTCAGACCCATAAAGAACGAATTTGATGTCAGATTCGAGAAATAATCGTTTCCCTAGATTTTCAAAATCAGCGGTTCACGCGATGCAGTAGGCTTATACTGGTCGAAAAAATTTTTTTTCCTGATTGACTTAAAAATCCCAAAAAATTCATAGACACTAATTCAGACCCATAAAGAACGAATTTGATGTCAGATTCGAGAAATAATCGTTTCCCTAGATTTTCAAAATCAGCGGTTCACGCGATGCAGTAGGCTTATACTGGTCGAAAAAAATTTTTTTCCTGATTGACCTAAAAATCCCAAAAAATTCATAGACATCAATTCAGACTCATAAAGAACGAATTTGATGTCAGATTCGAGAAATAATCGTTTCCCTAGATTTTCAAAATCAGCGGTTCACGCGATGCAGTAGGCTTATACTGGTCGAAAAAAATTTTTTTCCTGATTGACTTAAAAATCCCAAAAAATTCGTAGACTCTAATTCAGACCCATAAAGAACGAATTTGATGTCAGATTCGAGAAATAATCGTTTCCCTAGATTTTCAAAATCAGCGGTTCACGCGATGCAGTAGGCTTATACTGGTCGAAAAAAATTTTTTTCTTGATTGACCTAAAAATCCCAAAAAATTCATAGACACTAATTCAGACCCATAAAGAACGAATTTGATGTCAGATTCGAGAAAGATCCCTTTCCCTAGATTTTCAAAATCAGCGGTTCACGCGATGCAGTAGGCTTATACTGGTCGAAAAAAAATTTTTTCTTGATTGACCTAAAAATCCCAAAAAATTCATAGACACTAATTCAGACCCATAAAGAACGAATTTGATGTCAGATTCGAGAAATAATCGTTTCCCTAGATTTTCAAAATCAGCGGTGCACGCGATGCAGTAAGCTTATACTGGTCGAAAAAAATTTTTTTCTTGATTGACCTAAAAATCCCAAAAAATTCATAGACACTAATTCAGACCCATAACGAACGAATTTGATGTCAGATTCGAGAAATAATCGTTTCCCTAGATTTTCAAAATCAGCGGTGCACGCGATGCAGTAAGCTTATACTGGTCTAAAAAATTTTTTTCCTGATTGACTTAAAAATCCCAAAAAATTCATAGACACTAATTCAGACCCATAAAAAAAGAATTTGATGTCAGATTCGAGAAATAATCGTTTCCCTAGATTTTCAAAATCAGCGGTTTACGCGATGCAGTAGGCTTATACTGGTCGAAAAAAAATTTTTTCCTGATTGAGTTAAAAATCCCAAAAAATTCATAGACACTAATTCAGACCCATAAAGAACGAATTTGGTGTCAGATTCGAGAAAGATCCCTTTCCCTAGATTTTCAAAATCAGCGGTTCACGCGATGCAGTAGGCTTATACTGGTCGAAAAATATTTTTTTCCTGATTGCCCTAAAAATCCCAAGAAATTCATAGACACTAATCCAGAACCATAAAGAACGAATTTGATCTCAGATTTGAGAAAGAATCTTCCTCCTAGATTTTCAAAATCAGCTGTTCACGCGATGCAGTAGGCTTATACTGGTCGAAAAATATTGTTTACCTGATTGACCTAAAAATCCCAAAAAATTCAATGGACACCAATTCAGACACATAAAGATTCAGATTCAGATTGTCAGATTCGAAAAAGAACCCTTCCCCTAGCACACTGTTGCACTTCGCGCATTGTTTTGTGCAAGGTACCATGGTAACGTAGGAAACTGAAAAGAAGTGTCAGTTCGCAATTTGTTATTAATGCGCGAATCTTGTCATTTTCTGACGTTTGTAGAAAAAAATCATTATTTTTGTTTGTGTTTACTTTTATGTTATAATTTGTTATAATTTAATGCAAAGTGTTTGTTGATAACATTATGTATCTTGGACAACAAATATTCTCTATCTCTCTCTCAGGGGCGCGAAGGCTTGCTTCCCCAAGTACGACGGGGTGGCTTGGAACACGATGAAGCAGCACCTTTTCGCCATCGGAGCCATCGAGAGCTGCCCTCTGGACGGGGGGATGGCGGAGTTCTTCGGGCCCAGCTGCGTCCCCGCGTTTCCCGATGAATTGGGGGGTGGGCGGATGAAGGAGAAGTGCCAGGGGGACGGTTTCGATGGGGAGTTCGGGGCGCTGCATTGCTTGTCCAGCGAAGTGGGGGACGTGGCATTCGTGTCCGAGAATTCCATCAGGAAGTTCGTTGCAGGTAGAGTTCTGAAATGTACTTGACACTGCTGTTTAGACGTTTTTTGTATATGGGTTGCGTGCAAGAACTGTCAGATGACCGACGCTGGAGGCAAAACATTGAAACACATCGTCACTTTTCTTATTTGTTTACAAGTGATCGAAATAGTTTTCCACAATTATTTTGGCATATGAATCGTATTTTTCCGCTATTCATCAATTCGCTCATGCCACCACATTGTGCTGTTGTAAAATGCACAAAAACTGCAGCGGAAGATGAAGGAATCCGGATGGTACATTATTATTTAAAAGTAAGTACCTACTATAGTCACTCACATATAGTTTTCATTTTTGAAATTTGGTTATTTCTCTGATTTCTCATCGGAATTCCTTCTGCAATAGGAGCTAATAGAAATATACCTGAAATGTCTAGAATAATGCAAAAAGATTGGATTCATGCAATCAATCGGGAGGACTGGTCTGACATGCTGATGATCGTGTGTGTTGTAGACATTTTCAATCTATTAGCAGCATTAGCTTGTATTGCAGAAGTGGCAGAAGGCAGAAGGAATTTTAATAAGGAATGACAACATTTCATAATGATAACTATGTGAGATTACTATTTACCTGAAAAATCATATTCCCTAGTCTCTTGCTGCATTTTTTGTGCATTGTACAACAGCACAATGCGAAGGCATGCTTGAATTAATGAATAACGCAAGAAACACGATTCGTATGCCAAGATATCGTGAAAAACTATTTCAACCTTTTGATTCCTCTGTAAGCAAATAAAAAAGTGAGGTTGTGTTTCAATAATTCACAGAAGAATGAGGTTGTGTTTCAATATTTTGCCTCCAGGGTCGGTCTTCGTGCACGCGACCTATTAGAGTACGGACACTATGACAAGCACTGACAATCAGACATAACCACAAATAAATTAATGGAAAAAGCGGGAACTGACAGTACACGGACGTACAGGACATAAATTTCAGAGGTTCGTCAAGATAATTTGGAGAAAAATGCAAGTTTGTGCAGTTTCGAACCGTGAGAACACGTGAGATCTATTCACTCTCTATTCGAATTTCCATCGGATAACGTAATTCTACAACAATGGAAACAGAATATGATGCGGCCGGCATGGAATATACGTTCAGGCCACAAAATTTGCGAGGTATCCAAATTTTTTGGTAGGATATAGAACATTGAGCGAAAGAGTCGAACCCACAATTTATAAACTGAGCGAGTATCGAAAAGAACCTCATTCCAGTTTAGAACCAACAAGAAACGAAGAACTTGCAGATAATGAAATTCATTTCAAACATTTAAAAAAAAAAAAAAAAAAAAGACTTGAGAATGATCTTTAGAACGCGAATATCTGCGCAATCGTTTGAAATAACCCTATCAAACCCAGTATCGATGAATTCGTTATGACAATCCTAACCGATTATGGCATACAATACAGGGTGTCCCATTTGAAAATCAAAAGTTGGAATAGTTTCCAGTGAAACCGTGATAGATCAAAAATTGTTTCGTCAATCAATGAGCAATTTTTTATACTATCTGCCCACCAATTTTCAAAACCCTATCAATAATTCGAAAGTTACAGTCCTGGCCGTTTTTTGTGCACTTCTCTGTATAAAGAAATTCATTGAGAATTCGCATTCTCTATGTGATGGAAATATCAATTCTTTCTCGGTCTATTCAACAGAAAACAACTACTTTCCTGGCTATATGCCACGACGAATTATATCTGATCGCTATAGAAAATATGCGTAACGCCATCTATCGGAGTTCTTGAAAGCTGTCAAAGCGGCATGATATCATCAATGGCTTAGAAAATATGAGGGGAATAGGGGGAATAGCATATGACAACCCCCTCTAGCGCAACATTGGGAAAAATGTCCGCAATGACTGCCTTGTATCAACAAGCTTTTATAATTATATTACAACTATATTAAAACTTGTAATTGTAAAATTATTCAACAAAAAAAGTCCCCATGTGACAATTTTGAATATGATCACAAAATTCATCACGCATTTTGAAGCCGCCATCTTCAATTATTCAATTTCGTTGGAACCAGAATCATAATTTTTGTCCCAGAAAACCCCCAGATACCAATTTTGAATAGAATCGAATCGACTCGCTCGCCATATTTGATTCGCCATCTTGAATTTCTCAATTTTGACGATATAATCGAAATCTCCGACCCCGAAAACCCACAGATACGAATTTTTATAATATGGTGGACGAGTTTTGTGAATATTTATTTTAAACTCGTCCGCCATATTGGAGCCGACATCTTGAATTTTCCAATTTTGACAGAAGAATCATAATTGCCGACCCTAAAAATCCCTAGATACCAATTTTGAATAAAATCGGATGAATATTACAAAACTCATCCGCCATTTTGAAGCCGCCATGTTGTTATTTTCTCTGTCAAAAATTTCATGCAGACAGACACAGACACCGGGACAGATGAAACTAAACAAGAGCTTCTAAAAATAAACATATTCTAAGATGACACTGTATACTGGGTTGAAATTCAAAACAAACAAAAGGTGTATTTCGCAAAAACAACACCGTGTACATCAAGATCTGAGTACTTGAAAATTGTTGAAAGCATATAAAACCGTAGGCTAATATGGATAATACTTGTAATTACTTGGTGAATTTTACATGTGGTACCATTAGGGTCAGTTTTGGGGCCAATTTAACTCTCAATTTATATTAACACAGTACCCACTTTGGAATTAAAGAATAACTGAAATTATCTGCATACGATACAACAATAATCTATATTTCATAAGATTCAAACGATTTCAAATATATTACAAGTTATTTCAAACGAATATCATTTCAAAATTACCATATAAACTCTATAGACTGTTTTTTCTTTAGATGAAAGTGAGGGTAATCCAGGCAGCAGATTGTCCATAAACGATTTCGAAATTCTTTGCGAGGGCAACTCAAAATCTTGCCACCTAAGTTGGGCCACCGTTGGTCAAGCGATGGTCCGCGGTAATTCCAGCGATCTCTGGATGAAAGACACTCTGGATGTTTTCCTGCAACTGGACCAACTTTTCGGCAGGAATTACCAGTCTCTCACTACGCCATTCACGATGTACGGTCGCTACAACGGGAAACCCGATTTGCTGTTTCACGATGAGACTCAGAATCTGAGGGACGTACCTTTTTTCAAAAACACCGATCAAATGCCGAGATTTTTCAACAATACCTTCGACATTGATCAGCGTTGTAAAAAATCATCTAGTACTAGTTATAGAGCATCCCAACTCATCCTCATTTCAGCCATTTTATTTTATTATTTTGTATGAATGTATCTTTTTTTTGTGTCACCCAGCACTGAAATAAACTGTGATATACCCTGTATGTTTAATAAAACTATTTTATCGTAACGCTATATCGATTTTTACCCACCTGCTTGATTCACTCAAGCATAGTGCTTTTTATCTATGCCAACCCCTTATATTGATTATTCCACAGCCAACGGTGTTTAGTTGGCAACAGAATGACACAGTTAATTGTGTCAAAACATTAGCGAATTCAACTTGTTTCTGTTTGTTAATGTCCACTAAAAAGGTGAGTACCTGATATTATTAATATTGTTATAGTGATAATGCCATAATCAACGTGTTGTTAGGATGTGGGTAAAGCTACCAGTACAAGAAAATCTTCAACAAGTACATCAAAGATCAATGCAAAAACTCGTGAAGAAAGCATGGACAGAAAGAAGAAAGAAAAGAAGGAAATACCCATCAAAGCTACCAGTTTGAAACCTAAAAAATCCGAAAACAAGGAAGTAGAACCTGATACAAAACCCAAAGTGCCTAAATCTTCTAGCAAACCTTCTGTAGATTCTAAAGTAACAATAAGTAAGAAGAAACTCTCATCAGATGGACCGAAAACTCCTAGCGGTAGTAAGATTTCGAAAACCCAATTCTTTCCCACCAAAACCATGTACTCGAATGCACTCAAAGATAAAGATGAGAAAGGAGCAGGCGATAACATCAAAAGACCCGTGAAAGAAGAACTCTCATCTAAAAAATCTTCCCAAAATACTGCTCCACCGAAGAAAACAACCACCAAGACCGATAAACTTGAAGCTACAAGAAATGTAAATAAAGCCAAGAGTTTGATTAATGTGTCTAACAGAACCTTAGCCGACAAGACAACCCCTAGAAGCCCCATAGCAGACCTGAAGAAAAATGGCCCAGTCAAAATTCTTCGATCCAAGCAGCCTCCATCTTTGGAATCCAACAAATCTGCGTATACCTCACCAGACACAAGCACCATCTCCGAAAGACCAAGAACAGCTACACTGAGGAAAGGCAGCATTGTAAACGCAAACATAGTAGGACCAGATGCACCTAGGACCCTAGCAAAAGTCAAATCTCCGACACCCAGATCATCAGAGGAAGAGTTCAACTACGAAGATGACTTTGACTCCTACGAATCAGATTTTGAGCAGTACTCTTCATCCAGTTCCAACGCAGATAATTTATCTGGAGAAGGAACTAGCAGCGGTAGTAGTAGTGACCAAGAAGTGGCACCAAGAGAGCTTCAGTCTGCCCGGAGAAAAGTCCTATCAGCTGGCAGCGAGGAAGAGAGAAAGCTGGACTCTGGTCACTTCGATATGCCGGACTTCAAGCACAAGCAGATCCTCGACAACATCAAGGAGTCCGTGGAGAAAGAGAACAGCAACTTGATGCTGAGCAATAACCCAGCTTCTCTTTCCGACGAAGGCTTTGAAGAACAAAAATCTCTGCAGATGATCAACTTCTTGGATGCCCAGAAGAAACACGAGCATAGGAAAAGCGTGGAGATCAAGAGGAAACGTGGGGAGGAAATTTTGAGCATGATCAGATTGGATACTTACAGTTTCACTTTGTTTGATTTACCGCCTGTGCCTTATGATGTTTTTATCAAGAATTATGGAAGCACCAATAGCGTGCAGATTGCAGTTCAGACTGGCGAAGATGACATAGATGAAGATACTCAAACTGACTTTGTTGATATGTCAACAAAATGGACACAAGCACCTGTTGCTTTTAGTAATATAGAAGAAGATGATCCACAATTTTGGCAAACATACAAACAAGACTATCTAGGGGTAGGAAATGAAAACTGCGAAGAATCAAAATGGGAAACTACGAGATTCAATGAATTCTCTTTGAATAACTTCTTCTCATCTGCAGGAAACTTGGTCCTGCGGATCCTAGAGGAATCTAGAATTGGAAACATTAATAAGCTAGAGAAAAATTCTAGAGCCATACCATTCAGTGCTGGTTACATTTCGCTCAATACCAGCGAAGATATTTTCAAAGATAGCACTGTGAAGTTTGTGACTTTTTCTTGTGATATTAGAGGTAGGATTATGACAGTTCATTCCAGAAAAAGTGATGGTGATAGTGTGTTGGCCGTATGGCGAATATGTGATCCAGAAAAACCTGAGGCTGTTTACTTGTCTCATGGTGTATCTTGTTGTTCTTTTGGCCCAGAAAAATTGGGACTAGTGTTTGCTGGACTTACTAGCGGGTATAAACAATTCTTCATCCGCTCAAGTTCATAGTATATTGAGAGATTTTCATGTTTCAGAATGCTTTCTGTATGGAACTTGAGGCGTAAGAAAGAGGAATTCGGCAACAGTGCTGATTTTTGTACTGATATTGGTTGTGGGCACGACTCAAAAATCATCGGCTTGTATCCAATTGGTGATATTTCTGACTCGTCTTTCAATGAATTGAGTCAAACAAATGAGGTTCGCGAGTCAGATTACTTGATTCTCATTCACAACTAATGACATCTAGTGCGTTTTTAGATTTGCAGTTTAGATGAAACAGGTGACATCATACTGTGGACTGCCATTACGAAAAATTCAACTGCTCATTCAGACACTGGTGTCTTGCTTGTTCTCAATTCAAGGGTTTCTTTGCAAGAATTACATCCAAATTTGGTGGGTCTACATTGTACAGACTTTGTTATCGATGATAAAAACACGAACGTAGCTCTCATTTCTACGAATTATGGTTTCATCATCCATCACCTTATAAAAGGCGGTAGAAGTAACGTGAAAATGTTCTCTACAGGTGAGTAATCAACTGAAATTGATGTAAAATAGTATGTAATGAGTGTTGTAATAAGAAGCATATTACGCACGAATGGAAAAATTACGCGCTTCATAGTGGCGAGTGCGTAATTGCTTTACAACACGCATTAATGTACCATACTTTACCTACGGCCATAAACAGAGTAACAAAAAAAAAGTCAGGACATAAAATATAGATACTTGATTTCTTTCAAATGAGACATCCTCTATTTTATTGCATCTTGACATTTTCTGAACAATTTTAATGCGAACAATTAGTCATTCCAGAATTACGTCATTTGACAGGTTGCTGAGGGGCAAACATTGTATTTTGTCAAGATCTGTCATAGAAAACCAGAATTAGTGGGATCGTTTTCCTTGGAATCCGAGTTGGAACCAGAAAGAATTTCATAATTTTGTTTGGTGAAACTGTCATTATATCATGGATGTGGCAGAGGGACGGCCTGGGCAATGCTCATCAAAGGTAACCTTACAGATAGTTTGTGTGCCCCTCAAGAAACCATGTCAAGATCACGTGTTCTAGAATGATCAATTATCCAAAATATATACAAGGTGTTTTTGAAATAAGTGCACATATTCAGCACATCAATATGATACAGTCTAAGGAATATTCCCATGGTATCAGATTTTTTCTAATTCCTTTAATTAACGAGAAATTTCATCCCAAAAATGGAACAAAATTCGAGAAAATAACAACAAGTACACCACTTTAAAACAATTTAAATGATTGAACTCCATGTGATTGTGCCTACCGCATGAAAATTTGAACAGAGGTGACGTCAGATTTGCTACAGTGTAGTACTTTGGGTGGAAAAAGGGGTCTAACCTCAAATATTATTCTGATCCCTACATTTTTGTTATTAGTGCCATTTAAGATGCCTAGTTATAAGCATTTCAGTGCCATTCCATAGTACACGTCAAGCTCTCTCAGTGTTTGAAATATTTGCACTTATTTCAATGCCATAAAGAAGTGATTCTTCATAAAAAGTTTGTAAAAACGAAAATGCAATCATCAGATATCGATTTTTTTCAGTCGTATACGAGGTAGGTATTTCAAAAAATATTGATACTGCTGAGTAAAGTACCTTTATTTTCGACAATATCGAAAATTGTTACGGAGAAAAGTTGACTGGAATTGAAGACGACGTTCGAATATCTAATTAGATTCATCTACGATGAAAATAATGTTTTATTACTTTTTCACAATTTTAAGATCGATTCATATGGAAAACTGTTTTAGTCATCCTTTTTGCTCCTATTGCTCAAATTAAATAATGAAACCTGATGTTCATCGTTGGTTTTCCAATTTTAGTAAAATAATAGCAAAATTAATATTTTTTGACATACCTCGTATACGACTGAAGAAATTTACATCTGCTATTTGCAATTTAAAATTTTAGCCTTGCAGAACTTTTTTCCCTAAGATTAGTGATAATTTTTTTCTCCTTTGTTGACAACTTCAGATATAGTATAATTATATAACTTATAAATATACAGGGTGTCCCTGAAAGGTCTGTACAAAATCTCAGCAAATACTCCTGTGGTCAAAAAGAAGCGATTTTAAAGCAGTTTACCTCAGTCCAAAATGGCTTCGTTTCCAAGATACAGGGTGGTTGAAGTATAAAAATCTTAGAGTTTATTATTATATTCAAACATATCACTTCAAAAATTGATATTTGGGGTTTTCTTGGGATGCAAAACACGAATACGGGCACCTTTTCACTGCGTGGCAATTAGAGGGAGCTTACCAATGCACTTCTCATGGTTTATAATGGTCATAACTTTTTTAACAGTTTAGTGTCTTACTTTATTCGTTGAGAAAATAATTTTCTGAACATTTTTAAGCAAAAGAGAGACTCGTGATGAACCGATTGAACAGGCCGATTGAGAGATATTTCGGTTTCTAATGTTAATTGATGTAATTTGGTCATTGACTTAGCAGTGCAAAAATAGAGTTTTCAAAATACTTTCTTGGAGTGTACTTGTCGATTTTTATTTTTTATTTCACCACCCTGTATCTCGGAAACGGAGCAATTTCAGACTGAAGTTGCTTTAAATCGGCTTATATTTACCTCAGGAATATGTGCTAAGATTTCGTACAGACCTCTCAGGTACACCTATGTATATAGATGTGTCAAATCATGTGTATCATTATCATGTGGAATATGGCATATTTCAAACTGTGCGTTTTGCTTACCGTGCGTGATGAGCTACTTACTGATGCTGTGTGTATCGTGTGTTTTGCATATCTTCTGTAGTGGTAGTAGGTAATAGTTATTTATACTTCAATAAGGTAGTAAAGAATATCAGGGACTAGGGACTATCCCGAGGCTTCAGCCGGTGTATTTTTTTTTTCACCACTAGCAATACATTTCAATCATTTTAGTTCTGTGAAACTGATATACGAACCTATTGTCACTATGAATGCACTTCTTTTCACTACTAATTAAAATCTAGTAGTCATGACCATGACAGCAAATGAAAAAGTCGTTATTGATAAATACCTACTAGATTCTGGTGGAACAAAATATTCATCAGTTATGAAAAAATATCCTGGATATCCATTTTATATTGTGATATCAATTTATCTTGGCCTTTTCCAGATTCTCACTGTTCATCAAATTGTTTGGAAATATGTCCGTTCTCCTCCAATTATTTCCTTGCTGGACATCAAAACGGGGATATAAATCTGTACTCTCGCTTGGTTGAAAAACCTCTGATGGTTTTCGCTGATAAGGAGAGCAGCATACACCAATGCGGTCTTGAATTAATTGAGTGGTCTAGGAACAGACCTTTTGTGATATACACCAAAGATAAAAGTGACAAAATTCACATTTGGGATCTGAGCGAAAGCGATATGCACCCTGTATATTCAGTGCCTACTGGGAATAATATCACCTGTATGAAGTTGTCTCCATCGTCGAATACTAGCATTGAGGGTTCATCTTACTTGGTGAGTTATCAAATTAGCTACGCCACAAGATGAAATATGATATTTTGCTAGCTTGGAATCAGTAAAATTTTGAATTTTTTTATAGCTACTTATTGTTCAACAGTTACTCGCATAGGAGACTAATGAGATTCCCTTCATTGAAATATCATTTTAGGCTATTGGTACTGAAGATGGCTTAGTTTTTCTACACCAACTCAACGATGAACACGCTCAACAACCAATCAATATTTTCGATGAACACGTTAAAATGTTTTTGAATTATGTTAGTAGATTGTAATATTTTAACAATAAAATGAAATTGTTACATTAGAACCCGTTTACCCATAAATGCAACTCATGAATCTGATCACAAAAATGTCATCAGTGCTTGATATCCACTGAGGCAGGCTTTGGATCAGATTTGATCAGAAAAGTCTGAGATATCTCTGTCTGTTTCAATACTTTTTACTTACCCGGTATATAATACAAACAACCTGCGAGACACCAGTTGTGAATTTCATTTTGTGACATACCTGTCCATATATTTGACATTTTTTGTCGTATACTTCTGTATTTATGTCATTAGAAAAATACCTCTGCATGAGAAGAAAGACATTCTAAAATATTCAAAATGTCAAAAGATGACAAAATGTTCACCGAGCAAATGTAGATCGAAAACCAGTTTCTTCTTCAAAGTACTAGTGTCCATCAAGCAGCTCTTGTGCACGAAAAAGTTCTGCAATGGAGTGGGCCTATCAGACATAGCAAAATTCATGGAGAAGAACAATTGCCTTACAGGCGACCTCATCAGTCAACTAGAAAATGCCTTGTGCGTTGCAGAAGCTTCTAGGCTCATCACCAGGCGAAAAAAACTATACCTACTAGTAAGTCCGGCCGCCAATCTCCATCTCGTTCCAGAACCGTGCCTGAAGAACAAACTGGAAGAAATCCAATTGTCGTTCGATTCAGCTCAGTGTCCCGTAGACAGTAAAACTATTTGTTCCACCAGACAATCCAAGAGAATACCCCCACAAGACTCATGTAAACTCGAAAACAATCCCATCAGGAAATCGCCTAGAACCCGAAAACGCGTATCAAGATCTAAAAGTAGAAGCCGCTCCAGAAGCAGAAGTAAATCGAACAGTCCTAGCAAGTCCAGATCTGCTAGTCCTTGCGGTGGTAGAACGAGGAAGAAGAAGAGAATAGTGAAGTTATGTCCTCCTCAACCGAATAGTTCGCGGGGTAGGTCTAAATCTCCAGCTCCTAAGCCTAGCAAATCTTGCATCAAAAAGCCTAGCTGCAAAGAATTGACTAAGAGTTGCTATGATAATGACAATGTTAATAGCCAAGGTGGTAAGTGTTGTGGTTCGGATAGTGAATCCTCGGAAAACTAAATTCAATAAAGGTTTCTAAAACTATGATAATCTTTTATTGACATCAAAATGGAACCCTGCTGATTCCAATGATACACTCACCGGCAAAGAAACTGCCATCCTGGAATATTTTTAAAAGTTCCCGAAAATAGTTATTCATTATATACATGGAAAAAATATTGGATTTAAGCTCGAGGTTCTGTTGACGCGTAGCGGAGGGAGACGAAAAACCGTGAGCTAAAACTGAAAATCTCGTATTTTTTCCGTGTATAATACGCTATTTTTTTCTGTGTGATAGAGGACGGCTCAATATTGGAATCAGAAAATTATCGTTTTCAACACGAAAAAATATTTTTCTGGTACTTTCACTGCTTTCACTGTTATTATCGATTCAAATTTGTTTGTCTCGTTGATTGTTTTCTTTAGCCAATCATCAACAAGTAGCTCTTCAACCTGCGTTACTACTTACTTCTAGTCAGAGATTAGTCAACCACAGAACCTTCTAGTTAAAATATTAGGTAGATAACGAATTTCAAGGAAATACGTTTTTTGCCGGTGAGTTGTTTATTATGTAAATTTACCAAAATCTAAAATAGGATCTTTACCCATTTTGGACAAATTAGTCTATATATTCTAAGATCCGAACCTACATCGACCTTCACCGAGCTGATAATAGAACGAAATATATTTTATCATGAATTTAGTATATTAGAAAACATATTAAAAATGGGTTCGCTAAAAAAATCCTGGGCAGACTATTTTTAATTATTTTTCGAAAAATGATTTTTAATTAAATGTTGCAACATCAGGATAATGAAAAAATTTTGTCCTGGCTGAAAGTATAAAACGTATAGAATGTGCAGCCGTTGGGTTGTCTACTATTTACCTGGGCGAACTACTGGGTTGTCAGGTAAACACAGGTATATCGATGCCAGTTACTTTCACTGGATTGGATAATTAAAAAAAAATGTATATCATCATAAGCGCTGTTTAATTGCGAACACGTTGATATAGGGTTGTCTGCGAAAATTCCGGTCCTATTAGGGGTTTGCGAATTTTAAAGATTTTAATTTCAACGCCCGTGGAAGTGTGTGACAGAGAGATCCGAGGTAAGTATACTGTGTAATAATAAAGGACCCAACATCGCAGTATTTATATTGTTTTTTAATAAAATTTTAAATCGTAATACAAGATGTCTAGTCTATCTTTTTTGTTATTTCTTAATTTAAATTTTTGGCGGTCCACTTTGTTTCTATTTCCAGAAAGAGCAAAAAAATTTCAAAGTAAGTAATTGATATTTTTATTGTCTATTATAGATTATAGATATATTATTATGGTTATAACGCAATATATTGATATTATATTGTTTGTATATATTAGTATTATATTAAATATATTTAATTATTATGTAATTAATTTTTTTTTTTTTTGCTACTGAAATATCAGTTGCTCCAAAATAACACGCACTGTTTACTATATGAAGGGTAGCAGAGGTACCTCTACCCTCCATAGTTTACACACCGAGCATGCGCACTGTCAGGGTCCCATCACAAGCGACTGCGATGTTGGGTCCTTTATCATTACACAGTATACTTACCTCGGATCTCTCTGTCACACACTTCCACGCGCGTTGAAATTAAAATCTTTAAAATTCGCAAACCCCTAATAGGACCGGAATTTTCGCAGACAACCCTATATATCAACGTGTTCGCAATTAAACAGCGCTTATGATGATATACATTTTTTTTAATTATCCAATCCAGTGAAAGTAACTGGCATCGATATACCTGTGTTTACCTGACAACCCAGTAGTTCGCCCAGGTAAATAGTAGACAACCCAACGGCTGCACATTCTATACGTTTTATACTTTCAGTCAGGACAAAATTTTTTTATTATCCTGATGTTGCAACATTTAATTAAAAATCATTTTTCGAAAAATAATTAAAAATAGTCTGCCCAGGATTTTTTTAGCGAACCCATTTTTAATATGTTTTCTAATATACTAAATTCATGATAAAATATATTTCGTTCTATTATCAGCTCGGTGAAGGTCGATTTAGGTTCGGATCTTCTACTAATACTGTTATAGAAAATATTATATAACACAAGTGTAGTCAAAAGGATCCTGGTACATGAGATTTCGAACATTTTCATCCGCCATTTTGTTTTGGATCACCTACTCCCTGTTTTTGTCTGAAATTCTGGTGTCTTATTATAATAGAGAATTGGAAGACGATGAAAAGGAGATAGCATTCGACCCGTCCATTCAATTTTTAAAAAATACTCCAATCAAGGTGATGGATATTCCAATATAGCGTCCAGGTGGTCCAGGCGCCATTTTGAAACACATATTTTTCATCGTGGAATCAAAATTTAGCTTATAAAAAAACGCAGACTTTATTCTGAACACCAGGACAATTTTCATTTTCACATATTCCGTTTTTTGTTAGCCAAAAGACATTTTCTGCAACGGCAGCTCTTCTTCGGTCTCTCTTTGAGAGGACAAGCTGATGCTACGCCAAAAGTACATGATTTGCTTTTCGGAAGTACCGAATCCGTGGTAAAAGGAAAACAGTTTGTGGATTCTTGTGGGCCTTGGCAGAAATCTCTAATCGGACTATCGTAGTACATACTTTCCGATGGCATCGGTGGAGGATCCTGCTGCATAGCCTCAGAATTCATTGTTTTGCATCTGTTGCAGTTGCAGCCAGCGTAGACCGATACCCTCGTTTCGCTGATTCCTGGTCCTGGAGTGGCCTGACGGTTTGCTAGCTTGGGATTTTTCTTGTTTCTCAGCATAAAGTAGTTGCCTTTCCTTTCGATTATGTTATTCCTGTAGCCGTACTCGATGGCAGCGCTGACCACGTCGTAGATTTTGTCCCGTATTTCGTTATCTTGAAGGGAGTTTCTGGGTTTCGGCGTTGATTGCCTGGATATGTACTTGTTTGGATTGATTTCCAGTTTTGATTTGGTGGTCTTTTCGTTGTGCAGGAGCTCCCGACGCATCTTTTCACCGCTGTTTTCTCTCTTACCCGGCGTTGGGTGATTGTTGGGATTTGCGAACAGGTTTTTTAGCTTGGTCAGGTAATACAGGATGAGGTTCTCGAAGTTTTCTTGAGGCTTCGCTGCTACCACTGAATTTCTTCTGAGAGGTTCCCGCTTTGTGAAACTCACTTCTTTTCTCGGTTTGGTTTTGTTGTCATTGCCGTTCTTCTGCTGCTTTCTACTGGAATTTCTGGATGTTGGTGCCATGTTATATTTTTCTGACGAATACTTATATTTTCACTCAAAAATTTTGACTTTTCCAATAATTTCTATTTTTCGATGCGGTTGTCAAGTGCCTACTTCACGACACGATACAAATATATCATGGTAGCCCATTAGAACGCTAGTGTCCTAGTGTCACTGGGAACGCTTATTGTTGACGAACTATATTATCATCAGAAGTGATATAAATGTACAGGGTGTCCTGAAAGGTCTGTACAAAATGATACCACAGACTCCTGAGACCAAAGTGAGGTGATTGAACCAAACTATCGCACCTCTATACCAAATACTCCGTTCAGCCGCTATACAGCCTATACAGGGCGTTGGAATTAAATTTTTATTTTTTATTCAAATGCAACACCTCTGTCTTTTGAATTCGTGTGTGCCACATATAATGAATATAATTGGTATGATTGATGATTTCATACAAAAATTCAGTACCTATAATGTGTCTCAGACTATCAGGTATATTCCGGTGTGCTGCATCGAACATTAAAATCGAAAATAACTCGAAATCTTTACTTTGGCGAATTTTCACAAAAATATCTTTTTTGATTGAAAATGTTCACAAAATTATTTCCTCAACGAATAAAGTAATGAATTACACTGAGAAAACAGTTATGGCCATTCTAAACCATATGAGAAGTGCATTGGTAAGCGCCCTCTGATGGCCACAGTGAAAAGGTGTCCGTATTTGTGTTTCGCATCCCATAAAAAACCGAAATATCACTTTTCGAAATAACCCCAGTCTCTCGGAAACGGAGCTTAAATCTGCTCATTTTGACCTCAGGAATATGTGCTGAGATTTTGTACAGACCTTTCAGGGACACCCTGTATGTTCATTTAAACCCTGTATAAAATATCTTTGGTTTAAGAAGGAAATCCTCACAAACCATGTATTCAAATTTCAAAAGATTCAAACACCGAGGTTGGTAGAACTGCAAAGTTATCGGCCTCGCCATCTATTAGAGAATTGCTAAAGCTAATTATTTCATTCATGGATCTTTTCAGTTTTCACGAGTTTTTTGAACACTGTGATTCTGTGAATGTGTGATGGACAGCTATATATTTATTTGTCAATGTCAAATGTCAAAGATCAGTCATTTTGAATATCTTTCAAGTTTTTTAGCGGTTTTTATTTTTCAGTATTTCAATTTTCAATTTACATGATTAGGAAACTAGGAAGGATCAATCTGTGGAATTATTTAATAATTTATGTATCATTATGAGTTCAGTGTACGAAAAATTCAATGAATATGGACAGAAGGGTGACCGTAGTTCCCTGGAAACACTAATGGAATCTCTGGATGAGGAAGAAGTATAAACACATGCACTTTCCCTAAATTCCCTTCAAAACTTCTGGATGTTTTCAGCTCATCAACATAGTTAAAGACAAAATAAACACTGCCAACTTCACAGAAACTTGGATCTACATACTCGGATCATTCAAAGATGATGCAGAATCCCATGAGAAGAGACTGAAGTTGATTTTAAATGTATTGAAGGAAATAGAAGAGAATGATATCCCAGCATCCAGAATTAATACTGTAGTCAATCGATTGAATCTGGAACTGATCAAATTCAAATCACAACACTTGGCTAAACTATGCAATTTTTGCTTGGAATGTATACAGTCAAAAAGGAGATGCAAAATGGGGTATGTAATTTATTTAGATACCTATACACGAAATCAATCAATTTAATGATATTCCTTTAGATGGAAAGATTTACTACCAGAATTATTCAATGTATTAGTTGAGAGAGAAGCTTTCACTTATGAGAATGATCTTGACTATACAGGACTAGAATATAAAATGGAATTCATCAGCACTCTCTGCATGTCAACTTGGTCCCCAAATATTGTTACACCACTTGCTTCTTTATTTATGTAAGTTTTTTTATTACCTGGACCTAACAAGTTCATGCAGACATACTATATTTATTCTAGTGATATGCCTTTGAATAAGGAAGAGCACCTGAAAGTTGTTTGCAAATTAGGTTCTTATTTGGAAAAACTGACTCCTCAAGAAATTCCATCATTTGTGTATCAAATGCTGAAACTTTGCAAGTCACAGAATGGAAAATCATTGTTTTTGAGGCTCCAAAATTATTTTGGAATTCATGTTTATAATAATTCCAAGATACAGGATGAAGATTCAGATTCAATGACAGTTGACTTGGATGCAATAGGTAAAATTATTATAAAACAAATACCAAAGACCAATACTATGTCATATCTGATTTTCTAGAGAGTACAAGCAATTTAGAAACTATAGAAGCAGAAAGTACTGTTTTATTCCATATTCACACTGCAGCATCACTAGGCTATGCATGCATCAGAGACTATTTGAATTCATTGAAAAATATGCTGAGAGCACCTGAGTTCATACTTCATCCTTTTCAACTCATGATGCTCTTCACAATTTCCACTATAACACATTATGAAGAAACTGTTTTTGAGATAATTAGGCCTTGTGTTGTAAAAACTTACAATGAGGAACATAAAAAAATTCATTCTGCTTGGTTACGTGAAATGGTTCCTACTTGTTTGAAACCTGAAGATGTTTTTGCTCAAGTAATTCATTATAGGTTGGTTCAAAAATTATTTTTCAATATTCCAATATTGAATTAAATTAATTTTCAAGTGTAGAGGAAAGAGATCTGGTACTTTCTGCATTGGTTAGTTTTGCCTTTACACTTCTTGGTGTTGGTTCTGCTCTTGGAAGGGACATTATAGCAGAGAAACAGTGGAATTTGGGAAATTTGATTTTACTGAAAGTCATCAAGAGAAAAAGGCAAATTGCTCTAACAATTATCCAAACACTCAGTAATCATATTGTCACAAGACAAAGTGTTTCACAATATATTGGTAAGTTTGAAAACTCAGACAAAATAGAGGATGAGACCTAAAAATAATTGTTCCTGATTGATGATATTTTAGAATGTTTGTATATTATAAGTAAAACATTACCATTGCTGATGTTGGAGAACCAAAGTTGTATAATTGAATTGGTAGATGGTTTGATTCAAGTACCAGGTCCAATTGCAAATCAATTACTTGAGGCTTTGATGCCTCTGACAAAAGTATCCCCAACCATCAGGGATCATTTGATCATACTTTTGAGGAAAGCACTTTATTCAAGGTGAGGACTTGAGAAAAAATTTAAATTATAGACATAATATTGAATAAATTATCACTTTGCATTTGCCAGCTGAAAACTTTGAATAATGATTTCTCAAAAAATTCTATTCAAATTTGCCATAAAATATATGGGGTGATGAGATATTTAAAAAATTATGCATTAGAAAATCTGATTTTTCAAGATGGGCGGATTCAGAGGGGGGGTATAGGGGCCATGCCACCCCCCTCTTAAACCTCAAGGAATATGTAAAAATTTAGGTATTCTGAATACTAGAAAAAAAAATTATAATATTTTTCAGAATTTTTTTATGCAATATTATTCATTGAAGATATCTACATATGAAATGACTGATAAAAAACGTCTCAAGCCATAGTGCTGTTTGACAAAAAAGGGGATTTGACTTGCATCATATTAATTTTGTTGTAATCAAAAACTTTGAGAAAAAAAAAGTAGATACAGAATAGGGAATAGGTAGGTACTTCTACTGACGGAAAAGATGAGCCAACAAAAGTGGAAAAATGTGCATGTAACTCATGGAAACATTCAGGAGTCATTCTGAAATGGCTCTGAAAGGTATTGGATCTCTGTATAACAATCTCATGAAAGTTTTCACTTTTTGGGACTTCTTCATTACACATTCTGAAAAAGGTCAGTATGAAACATTCATGATCCTGGATTTATTTATGTGATCTAAGGAATCCATGATTTCATGAAGGATGTCACTAGGTATTATCTTCTCCATTGTCTGCTAAATATGGATAAAAAATCTAGTGAGCTGTAGTATCTGGTCTGCTCAAACAAGGGAAATCACCTACAGGTTTCTGTGACCGATACAGTAGTGCCGCCATACGGTCAACTCGAGGAAACACTTATTTCAATTGTTTCCCTGTCAAAGCTACATAATTAACCTTGAAAATCGTAAACGAATTGAGCAGCTCCCTCAGCGGTGCTCTCGGCACTCTCGGCCTGCCGCGTAGTTTGTTGTTCAGTGAGTTTGAGTTCAGTATCATGACATGGTCACGGGTCACGGTCAATCATTCCTTCTCAAAATGGTTGCTACAGACACTACAATAGTCCCCAATTTCGTAACGTTCAACACCTAAATTAAATGAGAGGTAGAATGAGTAGTATCGATTATTAGCTTTTGATCATCAGGGCTCTGATTATCTCACTTGTAATGAGTCTGTACCACTCAATATCGAATGTATTCACTTATTTCGCAAAAGAATATCACTTGGAGATCTATGAATGGAGACAGTTTCACACTTTCTGGTAGGCAAAATTGAGCGACAGAGTTTGTAACAAATTATCAATCAGAATAAACTATAATACTGGGAGCACGATACAAAACTATATCTATTAATGAAAGGGATATTAGAACAATGAGAATTGAAAAAGAACGATTTTTTTCAAGAAAAATGCAATACAAGTCACGATGACACGACAGCTCTTGACACTGACAACTCACATAACCACGAATTTCGAAAATTTTCTAGAAAAAAGTGAAGATCATTTCGTCCGATACGGTAACATCCTCTGGTGGTCATACACTCAACTGAGCTATAGAGCAGACCAGTAGTTACAGCTCACTAGATTTTTTCTCCATATTTAGCAGACAATGATCTTCTCCAACAAATATAAGTTTCAATTCACTTCTCATTTCCATATTTGATATGGTGCTCACTGCATGATTCACTACAATATTCTCCATTATGTACTATCAAAATTTGATAATATCGAGTAACACCAATTTCTAGGAAATGATTATTGATTAGTCATAGTAGAAATCCCCATGTACCTATCCCACAGTCCGCACGTACCAAAATGATTCAATATGAATAATCTAAACTTTGATGTATTTTATTGATGATTAGATATAATAGATTTTCATTGTTTGTAATTTTCACACGGCTGTCATCACAACAATGTTATTATTCCTTATTTGCCGTTTTATTCGTTCTTACACAATTCCTGCACGAGATAATCACAAAAAACGAGACTAGTGTTTCATACAAGCCAATAATAAGAAAACATGCACAATAGTGCAATTTGAAAAAAGAAGTTGACAGTCGCTGACGTTACAGTTGAAATTTGTAAAAATAATGATTAGAGCTCACAATCGTATTTGATTGGTAATTTAATTTGCTTTTTTGTTTTTCGAAATCTGATAGTTAACCCGTTAATACCGGCGCTATGGCTTTGGACGTTGTTTGTTTTTTACAACAGGAAATTTGATACCTACTTGTAAGGAAATTATATATGATTTCACGTTTACTAGAATCAATCTAATAAAAAAGCATTTGTCTCAAAAAGTAACAATAAAAATTTCTTTTTTTACTAGCCTTAATGAGCCCAGATCTTTCTGTGCCCCCCCCCCCAAGATTGCCGGGATCCGCCTCTGTTCAACAGTATTTGATTGTGTCAAAAATAAACAAAGTCAACTTTATTGTTGCCCAATTATCTAAAAGTTTGAAAATTATTTTCATCACCCTCAATTTGTTAAGGATTAAAAACTCGTCATAGCAATCTATATCAAATGATTATATTTTTGTATCCATTATTTCTGTCGATAAAATGAGTTCTCAGAAAGCAGAACCTTTCATCAGGAATACAGTTTTCTGAAAAATCAATATCCAAATAATTTGATTATGTAGGTAACTTGAGTGTAGAATTATGTATCGTTTTCTTCTAAGTCGTTTTCTTCTAAGAACAGTGAATAAGATGATGTTTTTTCTAAGGTCTATCGAAACTAGACAAATGTCGGTGAACGGCTTCCTCAAGCTGATAACACACCTGAAGATATCCAATATGGCTGTTCTGAGCCAAAGCAGCAATTCTGTGGGCTCCTTCATTTCCGGTCATTCGCTTTTCACGCAAATATCCATGAACAAATCCACTCAGGGGACGTCGGCTAGCCGATTCAGCAACGAGGCTTTATGTCTCGAAGTTCTCAACATACTCAAGCGCTGTTTCATGCAACAGGTGCCCGTTAAAACGCAACTCTATGAAGGTACAATAAAAAAATTTCGAATTTAGAAGTTTTGTCTTTAGAAAAATCAGGGGTATACAAACTCAACTGTGGATTTTGTCCTAAGGTATATATCGGTCAGACAGGTCGTACGTTTAATCAGCGCATTCAGGAACATAAGATTTTTTGAAAACGAAAACAAATTCAACATACGCCAACCATATATTAGAAGGAAACCATAGTTTTGATGATAACTTCGAAATTTCACACGTAGAAAATGAAGGAATGAAACTGAATCATTTTGAATCATTAGAAATCAACAAACTCAAAAATTCTGACATTTAACTAACGATTTATCAAACCTGTCCACAGGTAATTCTAATCCTTCAGGTTGGGAAAGTAGGATATACAGAGTGTTAACAAATAAGTGTCACAACGGAAAGCTGTAGATTCCTCATAATAAAAGAAACATTTCTTTCATCTTCAAAATTTTTCTCCAGGCTTCCGTTTTTGAGATACAGGGCGTCAAAAAATAAAAAATGTTCAGATTAATTAAACACACTTTACAACACTTAACACACTTGACAATCTGAAAACCAGTATCGAGACCAGCATACTCAAGAACCTGACATTTGATTGAACATATTCTTAGACAGTTCAGAGGATTCCTATGAGTTTTTTTGTGCTATGAAGAGATCAGAGCAGCTAAAGGAAAAACCCCAGAAGCACACTCCATATCTCAGTATGGAATCCACCTGAGCATAGTACAGCTTCAGCAGCTGATCATCATTTAAAACCTGCCTTATATTCCTGTATTGATATGAAGTTGAGTTAATTTTTTTTGATCAGAAAATCACAGTGATTCTGCCAATTTAAATGTTCATCAATGTGAAGACCTAAAAATTTTAAGCTCTCACACTCTGTTGTTACAGTCGATCAGCAATTAGAAGAAGATGTGTACTAAATATCAGAAAAACATGAGTATGGTTCATTAGTTATGATGCGTTATGACCCTATAAAACAGTTAGGAACCTCCGTATCTACTGATTGAAACATTTAATAATTAAATTTGTCAATTATTGACAAAATGGTTTCAATGAGAAATGTTGAATTTATTTTGCGATTGAGGTATCCCACAAGGTAGCATGATAGGGCTATTTTTATACCTATCATTTATGACACCATAGATTTTCATTGTTAATCGGTATTTTTTTGTTGGGATTTTTTTTGTGGTATTCAGGTTTGTATGATGCAGTGTGTTCCAACCCCGAGCTAGGCATACCAGTTTTAGACATGATATGGTTGCACTTTAGCGAATATTATGTCTTGGATGAAGATCAGCTACCACCTCTCAAAATGGATAAAATTGTTACCCTCAAAGATGCCCAGTCTCTTTTACAGGTAATACTGATTGTTGGAGCTCAATATCAAATTATTGTTATTGTGTTATGAATATATTTTAGGAGCCTCTAGGTAAACTCATTCATGCTATAGGCCTGATAGTCACTAAAGTATCAGAAATAGAAGAAAATAAAGAGAACAGCACTGTGATGAAATTCTCGGGTATCCTTGAATCTATATGTCAAAGAATGCCAAATTGTGAGCTTGTTCATTTTGAACTGGTATTGTCTTCACTGATTTATGATCCATATTTTCTTTCATTTCGGATTTTTCCTCAGGATGATGGGACTGATTTACTTGATGTTTTACCTGAATCTCAGAAAAAAATGCTGGTATTGAAAGAAACCATGTGCACCTATGAAGCTCTGATTGGTTATAAGTTGTGTTCTTGGAATCAGGATTCAGAAAATCACGGAAATAGAATCAATGGTTTATTTCAAGGATACACTAGATTGCTGCACTTCTCAAAAGTAAAAGGTATTTTTCTTCCTCGGAATCTATTTGATTTTGAAATTTGTTTAGACACTTTTAAAACCGAAAAAAGCTGATTCCAAAAGAAAAAAATTGGATAACAATAAAACAACCCAGCCGACTCAGCCCACGACATCACAGAAAAAGGAATCTCAGAAGCTTGCCAAGAATTTTAAAGTTCATGATACCTTGCTGGATTTGGGAACCATTAGGAAAACTTTGAGCTTACTTCACATGTAAGTACCTACCTAGTGTTCTCCAAGGGTAACGATCCTCGTAATTTGGAGAAGAATAAGTTTGATTTATCATTTCATGGCCTACTGTAATCAAAATGACGTCACAAAAATCAGGAAACTAGGCATTATTACTTGTTTTTTGAAAACGGATTCCATTTTCTATTTGTTCATTTCTGGAATGCCCTTATACAAAGTTATCATACTTCATGTAGATATAAAGTCGGACAAATTGAACGCTTGAAAAGACAGTCGTATTTTCGAACTAGATAGATGAGATCTGACTTAATGCGATTTTTTCACCATGAAAAGCCATTGGCGCAATCAGAACTCAACTATGTCTGCTCTGAAAAAAGTTCGAATTCTTCCATAGACTTATTATCCCAAGCAATTTCACACAAATTCGATGAGAATTTCGATAAATATGATCACTATTCTTCAAATTTAGAAACTACTTTTCTGGCAACACCGCTATGTAAGGCTACGAGAAAAGCGGCATTGTTGCTTTTCGAATGAACATAACCTATTTATCGGATCACGGACTAATATCTGAATGGGTTGCGTGCAAGAACTGTCAGATGACCGACGCTGGAGGCAAAACATTGAAACAGAACGTCACTTTTCTTATTTGTTTACAAGTGATCGAAATAGTTTTCCACAATTATTTTGGTATATGAATCGTATTTTTCCGCTATTCATCAATTCGCTCATGCCATCACATTGTGCTGTTGTAAAATGCACAAAAACTGCAGCGGAAGATGAAGGAATCCGGATGGTACATTATGATTCAAAAGTAAGTACCTACTATATAGTTAACATAGTTTTCATTTTTGAAATTTGGTTATTTCTCTGATTTCTCATAGGAATTCCTTCTGCAATAGGAGCTAATAGAAATATACCTGAAATGTCTAGAATAATGCAAGAAGATTGGATTCATGCAATCAATCGGGAGGACTGGTCTGACATGTTGTAGACATTTTCAATCTATTAGCAGTATTAGCTTGTATTGCAGAAGTGGCAGGAATTTTAATAAGGAATGACAACATTTCATAATGATAACTATGTGAGATTACTATTTACCTGAAAAATCATATTCCCTAGTCTCTTGCTGCATTTTTTGTGCATTGTACAACAGCACAATGCGAAGGCATGCTTGAATTAATGGATAACGCAAGAAACACGATTCGAATGCCAAAATATTGTGAAAAACTATTTCAACCTTTTGATTCCTCTGTAACCAAATAAAAAAGTGAGGTTGTGTTTCAATAATTCACAGAAGAATGAGGTTGTGTTTCAATATTTTGCCTCCAGGGTCGGTCATCGTGCACGCGACCTATAGACCGGCAGGTAGTGACACATTTTTGGACGTGATTTCACCCAGTATGCCTTTTGGAGGTTATCATTATGTATATATTTTGATGTTAAAAAATGATACATGAAAGATATGCATAGTTGAAAATACAAAGACAGGTTGCGCAAGCCCAAAAGGTAATCACGGTCTGGTGTAGTTGCCTTCAAAAAAAATTTTCCTCGTTTTCAAACAAGCTGCCTTTGAAAAGTATACATGTTTGTGCTATACATATATGCTTCGGATAAAATTATATACCGTTTGCGCATGTCCAAACTACAACTAAACCTTGAAAACATGCCTAAATGCATGAAGAACCCGGCAGGAGCTAAGGAACCATATCCTTCATTTTCAACCATCAATTAAATTACACCCTGTATATAATGATACCCTCCAAAAGGCATACCTATTCGCGAGAATCAATGCTACCAGGTGGCGCTCAGTTTTCATCGTTCCATGTCAAAGCCACGTCAAAACTGGGGGAAAACAAACTCAATCCCATAAGAGCCGTTAGCTTGTGTACTGTGTACTGATAAGAATTATAACACTTTATGTCAGTGACAAGTTTGACAACTACAGATACAGCAAGATGTATGCAATGTAGTCTATGCACTTTATTCATAGACAATAGATTGTTTCCCCCAGTTTGAAGTTCGTATTATGTAACCTAGATGTCGCCCACTTCGTGAATCTCGCGAATATTTGTTTTGTTAAGGCCTACAGTTAGCTGGACGACAGTGACAGAAGCGAATGTTGTCAAAACGAAAAAAGACTTCCACCAACACGTGATGGAAGCGACTTTGCACTCGGTGATGGCTGTGAAGAAACGCAAAGATGTGGACAGCAACATAAAAAAAGTTTATTTCGATCACGTAACTGACATTGCTGTCATCATTTTCGATAGGATTGTTAAAAGATTGGAGGACTTTGTTGATTTCGATTCTGTGACCGCTAGTTTAGCGATGGAGTGTTTCAATGTCATCTTGAATCTAGTACACACTCAGTATACAAGTAATTTGCGATCGTTTTTGAATAAGGTTGGTGAGTGGTATTTGTTCTTGTTCATTTATTTTTTTATTCATCCACCGATTTCTCCCTCTTTTTAGTACCTGATGGTAATGATGGAATGATTAGTCAACTTACAATATTGGTGGAAATTTACCAAAAACTTTTTCAAACTGATGACGAAGATTCAGAAGATCCAGAAATTAAAAAAATGTCTTCAACCTTCATAAACACTTTAGCATCCCTGGCAAATTGGATACCTTCTGGTAGCAATGCTTTATCAGTACAGGTTGGATAATCGGAATTGTCGAAATTTGCTTTTTTTTTCAGAACAAAAGTTTTCAGATGCTGGACTGGCTCAGGAACTTTGCCTACAATCATACCTCGACAGCCAAACTTTCAACACCCTTTATAAATCTTTATTTTGAAACTCACTCTAAGTACAAAATCAGCCTCACCGTTTTTGAAGATTTTTCGGTCTGCATTGGAGATGTTATCGGAGTTTTAACACAAGTAAGGTGTTGATCATGTAAATAGGAAATACGGACTGTTAACATTTTTGAGCATTATTATTCAAAATGTCCGTTATTAAATCAGAAAAAGTTATGAATGCATTCTGCATCAAAGAACTCAAAAATAAAAATGAATTAAATGCTTCGCATTTTAATTATAGGTGTATTTTCATGTTTTTAAGGAAGAACACACTGGAGAAAAGGTCAAAATAATAAATGAAGCAACTGTTTACAATATTCTTACATCACTATGTGGAAGCATCAAGTCAGTTCTGGAAGATATCGAATCAGTTATAGCACGTTTGAAATCTGAATATTACGTGCTGACTTACAATGGAGTAGAAAATGTCGAGAAAAGTACGTATCAAATCATCCACTGTTACAGTGAAAAATAGTTCATAAAGGTCATTTTCATTCAATAAGCGAGTTTCTCTCAAATTGGGAATCCCTTCTCCATTCACCTTTCAGAGATGGAAAACCTGAAAACGAAAGAAAGAGGCGTCTGTTGTCAGTTGTGTTTCGTCGTGACGATTCTGACGAATCTCTGCAACCTGTCGATTCAACCTGGCAACCCGGCAGAATCCATCTTTAAAAATGTCATCCTCCTTTTCGGCACTCTCGGCGCCTTAACAAGACATTTCTCGATGCGATCCTCCAAAGCGAATTTGGCTTTCCAAGGAGCGAGGTAACGTAAATTCTCGACGGGATAGGGCCGACGACGGATCCTTGAGGTGCACCTTTTGCGTTCACAGGTTCGAACGGTTGGTAAAGTTGTCAGGGAAACAACTGGCGCCCGCCATTTATCAGTTGATCCTCCACATGGAGGAGAGCCAAAAGGAGGAGGGTCAGCCCAGTCAGGAGAAGAAGAAAGTCGTAGATCCGTCGAGTTTGAAAACGAAAGTTCTGAGAGAAACCCGACTCATTCCGAAGGTCGTCTACGAAATCGAACAGTTCAGCAAATATGTTATTCAGCTGTCGAACAAGACTAAGGTAAACGAGGTGATTTTTCTCTCATACACGGGGTGTTTTTCTCTCATGCGTTTCAACATTACTATCTTCACAATTAGTGGATGTAGAAAACATTATTCTCTAACACATCATAAATTCTAACCTCATACATTTTTTATTTATGGAGCGATTATCAAGATTTTGTTTTGACATGAAGAGGGAGGAAAGGTGCATTTTGGAGCTAAGCAGCGTCCACTTTTTTAAAAACTAAGGCCTACTAGATCACATTAGCAGACTGAAGAAAAGTCCAGAGTCCATATTAGCGATTTTTTTAGAGAAAAAAAAAATATACAACAACATCCTATCCCTCCTCTAATTCCCAGCTATTAGTCCAGCGATTCCTACCAAATTTGGACCAGTATGTATAACTATCAGTATAATCAGTTTTTCGAAGATGAACATCATTTTGGACAGTGTCGTGATTGAAATAAAAAGCGGCCTATTTTTATGAAATCATATTAAGTTTTTTTTCGCAAGAAAAAAACTAAGTTCTTATTATTGTTCCTAATGCTTTTGAATATCCATATGCAAAAAATCACCTCATTCCAAATTGATAGGATTGGCTTCATTTTTTTTTTCATTGCCAGCCTCGGAAAATAGTGAATTAAAATTAACTGCAAATTTTGGAACGTTCAATAGCTCCGGTAGGTAGAAAATGGTGATTTGAAAGAAAAAAAAAAGAAATACTATTTTATGTTGAACTCACCGTTTCCGAGTTAATAATTATTACGTTCCTAAAAATCCTTTTCGGATGTGCCTGTATTTTTGTAAATACTTACATATGAGGGTTTGAAACCATGAAGAACAATATGATGAGGTCAATTTTCCTGTAAAAAAATCCTAATATGATTTCATTAAAAATTTACCCCTCTTCATTTTGATAAAAACGCACGACACTGTTCAAAAGAATGTTCGTCTTTGAAAAAGTGATCATATTGATGAATAACCATCAATATTGTGGTCCAAAATCGCTAATATGGATTTTGGATTTTTCAGCTCAAGGCTCATGCTGCTACAGTGGCGCAGCCAGAATTGTATTAGGGGGGGGGGTTTGTAAAAATCAGGGAGAGTATTAAAAAAAACGAGAATATATTATAGAATACAAAACGTAATGTATGTATACATGAGGTACATTTGAGAAAATATAATGAAAAAAACTCAGATAGTGAATAGGCATAGTCAAACAGCCTACAGATATAATACTATATGAAAATATAAATAACAATAACAACATATATCATCAGAAATTTGAAGACGGCGAGATTTGAGAGCGAAGACATCAAGAACTTCGTCTTCCATAATAGGAATATCTGATCTTATACGATTTTATACAAGAGCACGTGGTGACTGGTAAGGTTGTCATGATGATTAGAAGTTTATAAATGGGCGTGTACATCTTAGTAGAACTTTTAACTCAGACCATGTTTACAATGATCCTTTTATACATAAATAATGATTGACGATATAATTCGATCGAAAAATCAACTGGAATGTTTTATTTTTGGACATAAATAATAGTACCTTCTGAAAACGGACCCTCTTATGACGTAGAAACCTCATCTCGCCATAGTTGAAAGAAAATACCAAACGCCCGACGGAGACTGAGGCAACTGATATATTAATTCTTTCAACTGTGATCTCGCGCTAATTCACTCTGTCAGAAATCATGTATCATTCATCTCTGTCTGGAATAGTCTTGTTTCAGTATTAGGGTTTTGACGTCACATCATCGCCTCGTTTTCAGAGGTCCGAAAAATCGGGGATTTCAATAATTTTTTATGAAACGTAGGGAGCTCACAGCAAGAAACGGTTTGCGGTAGTGAGCTAGTTTAGTCGAATTATGAAATGAAAATTTTTTGTGATATGAGCCCATTGTGGGACACAATCACTACACAGTTGCCAAGATTATTTTATTTACCTAGATTGATTAACCTTTTCTAGTTCGCGTCTGGGTCTGGGAGGGGGGGGGGGAATCACTATCATTCCGTGCTCGTTAAACAATATGCTATTTTTTAAACTTTGGAGGTGGATTTGGCCAAGTATGCGGGACAAGGGATAGTCAGAGATTTCCGGATCACGGGGTTGAAAGAGGCTCTGGAACAGAATGGGGGGGTGGTGGAAGCGACGCAATCCACGCAGGCGGATAGAACCGTGAACGAAGAAGAAGAATCGACTGCGGATGTGAGTGTTGAAAGGGGTGAGGCAAGCCAGGAAAATGATAGTCCCCCGCCTTCAAAGAAATCTAGGATCTAGAATTTCTAGAGTTTCCTGAAGGTTTATTTGGAAAATGTTGCTGGTTGAAGGTTCACCACTATGACGTTTTAATTTTATGTTTGTTGGAAACTGTTGTTTGGTGTTAATTTTTTTATGATGTGAAATGTTGAGAATAAGCCTCAAGTATTTTTCTATTTTTTTTTTATTTTTGCTAAATAAAGATTGGAAAATCTAAATGTGTGATATTTTCTGTCAGAAACCATGAAAAATTGTAGTTTGCATAGCAAGCACAGAAACACAGTTTCTAGATTCAATTTGTCTCAATTGTTTGGTACCTATATTATCATAATATTGTTGAAGTCAGAACATGAAGGTAGGATGTCCGATTCTTGTTGATATTTTGAGAACATGGCCATATTTACATCATTCTTCACTCTATTACTAAACTGGTAACTACACTTCAGCATAAAATACACAAAGTGTCTCACTTTAAACGCCCCCCCCCCCCTCCCCTCCCTATATTCATTATTATTATTAATCCTTTATTGAACCACGGAAAATTACATTTTCATAAAGGTCCTTACTTAAAAAAAAACATATCATGTAAAAAAAAACAAGAATAGCTGAAAATATATAGAGAGTACATTTTGTCAGGTACATTGGTAACAGTGTAGTGTTAAAAATAGCCTTATTATATCACAGAGTTTGTCACTACTTATCATTATTATGCGTTTTTATGAAAGTTCTTGAAAAGATTACAAATGTTGCCAGATCAATTCAAAGCTTAACTAGGCATTTAGTCTATTTACTCATAAGGTATTTTTTTCAGTTTTTTATTGAATAATTTGCTGTTACATTCTTTGATTTCAACAGGCAGTTGATTATATATTTGAACAAATTGAAGCAAATGGATTTTTTATCAGCTTCCATAGATGCATTGGGTGAGAATAACTTCTCACTATTGAGTGTATTGTATTTACATACCGTAAATGACAGATTGGAGAATTTTTGTCTGTTAATGGTTTGATGAATGTGATTGGATATTTGGAGTTCATACATATTATCTAAACTTGAAATATTATCTCATCTATTAGTCCTGTGAGTCTCACCAAATTTGTTAACTTGAAGCATATCAATACATCATTGCAAAACAGCAATTCTTACACCGGGAACAATAGGTAAATACTACGATTATTAAATAAGAATTTTCAGAATTTCTATCCACATATATGTGGGGGATTTGTGGCATTCTGTGGTCATGAGATCAGTCTCAAAAGGGCTGTGGAGGAGGAAGCAGTGTTTTATGTGTTCTCAACTGTTATATAAGTACTAATTATCCTGTCACCATTCATACCAAATTCATCCAGTGATCATCACAGAATGGTTCACTTAACAATTGGTAGGTATCTGCAGCATGTTCCACTTTAAATGGCCCCCTCTATATCTCAGCCATCAATAAGATCAGTTTTTTTTCAAAGATGAACATCATTTTGGACAGTTTGGTGTGTTTTTATTAAAATATAGAAAGGGTCAATTTTCAATGAAATCATATTACGAATTTTTTGCAGGACAATCAACTCCATATTATTGTTCCTTTCCAACCTCTATATGCAAAAAATCACCTCATTTGGAATTAACAGGCTTAATTTTTTCTCATTCCTGCCTAGAAAAAGTAGTGAATTCAAATTAATTGGAAATTTTGGAATGTTCAATAGCTCTGGTAGGAAGAAATTTATGGTTTCCTAGTAAATAATTATTTACTTTTGCGAAAATGCTGTTTGGATGTGCCTGTTTTTTGGAACCCATCATAAAAAACACATGAAAATTGACATATGGGGGGTTTGAATCCATTAAGAACAATATTATGATGTGTTTTCCGTGAGATCTAAAGAGGGGGCTGTTTGAAGTGAGACAAGCTTTATTGTTCACAGGCTAGAGGATTTAATATTTTCTGATTCTTCTGATGAATTTCTTCATAAACAGATCACTTTCAAGTTTTCAGGAATGGCTTCAGCACTTGAGCATTGAGCTAGCAGTAGCACATATAATTTTTTTATCATAGTTCCTTATCTGAATTTTGTTCCCATTTTTAATTTTAATATATTCAACATTTGTTGAAAGGCAATTTCTGCATGAGTATCAGCTGAAATAGTTTCATGAATTGTACTCATATCCTGCCTAGTTTCAATAATAGTAAAAAAGCAACACAATTTAATTAATAATTCCATTTATTATCATAAAAATATAAATGATATTCCTAACTTAACAAGTAGAAAATACAAGTGAATATTCATGAACAACCCGTAACTGTGATATTTACAGAAATTTCAACAAATGTGTATAAAATATAGAAAAATGAGTAATATAAAATATGATCCTGTATTTCCACCTTCTAACATATGGGTTCATAAATAAAGGTGGTGTTGAATGGAGTGGAATATTCAAGATTCTCCTCTAGGGTGAATCCATTGTAGCAAATTCAGAAAATTGTAATACATTGAGTGAAATTGAATCTGTATTGTCTGAAATAGGTAGAAACAATGCTAGAAAGGAGAAAGCTAGGATCAAATATGTAGATAATGAGATACTATTGTGAGGTATGGCTATGGATTGAATAGAATGAGATAGTGGAGCATTAACTGAGGTTAAGTAATTGAGGTAAGTGGTTGTTCAAATAATATCCCACAAGAACCTTATGCAACAAAGTCCAAAGGCCTATTGAAGCCCCCTTTGCGGTTCATATACTGCCTATATTTCCGTTTGAGAATAACATGAACTTCCCCAGTATCATTACCATCAACTTTTTTACCTTTTGTTGTGTCAAAGTTGCAGAAACCCATCAGCTTCATCATTTCCTGTTCATCTTGACTTTTCCCTTCCAAGTCTGCGGCTGTTACTAGGGGTCTATCTGGGAGCAGGTTTTTCCGTTTTCTTTCTGGAGACCTAGACCTGGATCTTGAGTACCTCCTGTCATCCCTATCAAAAGAGTGACGTCTTCTCTCCCTGTCTCTGGATCTATCCCTGGATCTTTTCCGCCTATGTCTCTCCTTATCTCTGTCTTTCTCTCGGTCCCTGTCTCTGTCCCTCTCCTTATCCCGGTCCCTTTCCCGAATATCCCGTCTTCGTGCACCAAATGGAGATTTTGACCTACTCCTTCTACCCATTTTCAAAGTTCTGAAAAAAAAAACGAAATTTCAATGTACTTTAGAAAAATAATGTATATGGAGAATTGTGAAGATGAAAAATTGATTTTTATTTCATTTTTTACCTGTTTTTTGAATTTTATTAAACTTTTATTTTTGACAACTGTCAGGGCTAACAACAAGAAAAACGTCGATTTTTAGTTTTTCATTTTTACGTCAAGGCGCTAGTGGCGTACGCTAACTTCACGTTGATTCGGATTTCGTCCTTATGATCATTGGACCATAGAACGATAATCGCATAAAAATTTCTCCTCTCTTGTGACCAGCGCGGCACAAAAGGAAATTGATTGCGCTGGCGCATTCAAAAATCTCGTTTGCATAGTGCGACCATGCCGGATCACTATTTTTTCACCAAAACTAAGGAATACTTTGTGAGGAAAATTTATTCCGAACAATCCAAACTCTCTATCTGACTGTTTCTATGACACGAATACCTATCCGAAAATTCCAAAACTCTGTTACTCCCAATCATTACATTGACACAAACTGGAGAGTATTTTCTATACTCATTTGTTCTTAGCTTGACCAAAGTTCTTCAGAATCTCAATTTGTTGAATCTGGCAACACCGCGTTGTCCTTCTGGAGTGTCCGTGACCCAAACTTCTTGTTCTGTGTCTGTGAGAAGTTTGTTGAGTGGGATAGGTGTTGTGTGAAAAAATTCTTGGAAGCTGCCGTGGATACGCGGGTCGAATTTTCGCTTTTTCATCCAATTCAAAACTTTTTTCGATTACTAGCCAAAAGCCGACAGTCTGTGCAGTGCCGGTGACGAATTTTCTTGTGTAATACGAACCTACATGGGGCGTAGGCTGATAAACTGAAGTGAGAATTTCACCAAGACTGTCAGCCGAGCAATCGGCTTGTCCCTGTGATTTTTCCGAGAACAAACTGTTTTAGATTAGTTCGCAAACGGTAAGTTTGATTCTTTGTAGAATTGCTTCGATCCAAATTCATAAGGTACATATTTGACGATAGCTATCTCTAGGATCTGTGGCTGGGGTGTGTCACTGGGTACCAAAACGCCTCATACATTTCCGATTTTATACATTTTGTGGTTAGTGTTTGTTCTCAGTTTGCCAGTCGGTTTATAAAAATAACTGCTTATCGTAGGTATGCCTCATTCAGATTTCAGATTTTGTTATCCCACTGTTCTGGCACGTACTAGCTCGTCCTCGGCGATTTCCTGATAAAATGTTTGACTATTTGGAGTAATTGGAATCTTTATAGGAAACTGTTCATGTAACGTGACATTGGCAAAAAAGTTGAGATGTAATCCAAAAAACAGGTGTTTCGAAGTTAGGCAACCCAAAATACTTACCTCGTCAAGTCCAAGTTAGATCCAAGTGTATGATTGGATCAAAGTGGACGATAGGTAGATGAATTCTTGATTCCATCATTTCATTATAATAATGATAACTTATATACAAAAGGTAATGTTCTAATCTCGGTTCCAATGTTGCTAGGCATCATTCATCTCTATTTTTAATTTTTTTAGAGGTTTCTTTTATAAAAAATCTTGGCTCCTGCCTATTTAGGTACCTGTTTCAACTGTCAATCCTGTTATTACTACTGTTATTATCTTTGTTTATGATTGCCGTCTGCAGATGATGCAGAATGCGGAGAACAGCAGGAACATAAACTAAACTCATTATTATCAGACCAACTGGTATTATAGAAGATGATCTCATCATCCTCATCTCTAGATGAAAGTTGGTCATACCGTTTTATTTTATAGTACAGTCCAACAGAGAGTTGAACAAAGGTGTGTGGCATTGGCATGATACCTTTCATTATGAAATAGGTTTAATGTTGCATAATGCTGTTTATGGTGAATAAACTCTAGGTAATTTTGCACTTATCATGCGATGGTTTTTTTTCGAAAATTTTTTTTGGTACTTACGTATTTTTGTCTGAAAAACACGAATTTGATATTGAAAATGTGAACAAACCACTATTTATCGAGATATTTCAAGAAAAAGTTCGAAATTTTGCCTTATTTTCCCCCTTGTGTTGGATGCATTTACAAGTACTTGCTCTTTTTAACCTGCGTGAAAATAGAAACGGTCGCCGTATCGGAAACGAAATAATAGTATATGCGCACAGGTGTAAAATGTTATCACTTCGATTCTTCCGTTTTAACATTCAGATATCGACTGAAACCATTGCGATCCAAATGTTTTGCATTGATATGATGATTATAATGATGAATTGGGGTATACACACAAATAGGGTGCTACTATACACCTATATATAGATGAATATCTTCAAAACCAAATTACGAGCCAAATTACGAGCCAAATTAACTCATCGTTTTTGAAAATTTATATTCAACAGGATATTCAAAATGAATGAGAGAAACATATCTACCCTGTTTCAGAATTTGTATCTCAAAACTCACCCTGGAAACCACCCCCGAATAGATGAAAGTTATGTAAAATAATCGTTTCTGGAAATTTCTTTCTCGAAATATATTCAAAAGGAAAAGAGAAAACATACCTGTTTCAGAATTTGTATCTCAAAACTCACCCTGGCTGGATTTTTGATATGTTGTAGCTGTACTCTGTAGTCATTCTAAGTGAAAGACTCCATTGGCCCAACTCGATCGTAGGACCAGATTCGGCGCTAGAGGATGAAACATCATGAATTTTGTGTATTTTTGAGTCTTCAAAGCTTAATGAATAATATGAAAATCCCGTGATATGCATTCACCTCGGCATTCACCCTACCTAAAATTCATTAAAAATAGATATGTTTCAAGGTTACAGAAGGGATGTAGTAGCTTTTTTACAGGGTGGTCAACAATAAACTAATTTTCAGAAAATCCAAATGCCATCGTCTATATTCACACAAAAATTCCTGAAAATTGCAGAAATTGAAAAAATTCATGAAAATAAGAAAAATTTCTGAAAATTGCAAAAATCGCAAAAATTCCTGAAAATTGTAAAAATCGCAAAAATTTCTGAAAATTGCAAAAATCGCAAAAATGCCTGAAAATTGCAAAAATCGCAAAAATTGCAAAAATTCCTGAAAATTGCAAAAATTCCTGAAAATTGCAAAAATTGCTAAAATTCCTGATAATTGCAAAAATTCCTGAAAATTGTGAAAATTTCAAAAATTCCTGAAAAATGCAAAAATGCCTGAAAATTGCAAAAATAGTAAAAATTGCAAAAATTCCTGAAAATTGCAAAAATTGCTAAAATTCCTGAAAATTGCAAAAATTGCAGAAATTGCAAAAATCGCGAAAATGTCTGAAAATTGCAAAAATTCCTGAAAATTGCAAAAATCGCAAAAATTCCTGAAAATTGCAAAAATCGCAAAAATGCCTGAAAATTGCAAAATTTGCAAAAATTGCAGAAATTGCAAAAATTCCTGAAAATTGAAAAAATTTCTGAAAATTGAAAAAATTCCTGAAAATTGGAAAAATTCCTGAAAATTGAAAATAGCAAAAATTTCTGAAAATTAGAAAAGTTCCTGAAAAATGCAAAAATTGCAAAAATTCCTGAAAATTGCAAAAATTGCAAAAATGTCTGAAAATTGCAGAAATTGCAAAAATTCCTGAAAATTGCAGAAATTGAAAAAATTCATGAAAATAAGAAACATTTCTGAAAATTGCAAAAATCGCAAAAATTCCTGAAAATTGTAAAAATCGCAAAAATTTCTGAAAATTGCAAAAATCGCAAAAATTGCTAAAATTCCTGATAATTGCAAAAATTCCTGAAAATTGTGAAAATTTCAGAAAATCCTGAAAATTGGAAAAATTCCTGAAAAATGCAAAAATTGCAAAAATGCCTGAAAATTGCAAAAATTCCTGAAAATTGCAAAAATTGCAAAAATGCCTGAAAATTGCAAAAATACCAAAAATTGCAAAAATTCCCGAAAATTGTGATAATTGCAAAAATTCCTGAAAATTGCAAAAATTCCTGAAAATCGCAAAAATCGCAAAAAATCCTGAAAATTGCGAAAATCGCAAAAATGCCTGAAAATTGCAAAAATTCCCGAAAATTGCAAAAATCGCAAAAATGTCTGAAAAAATTCAAAAATTGCAAAAATTCCTGAAAATTGCAAAATTCGCAGAAATTCCTGAAAATTGCAAAAATTCCTGAAAATTGCAAAAATCGCAAAAATGCCTGAAATTTGCAAAAATCGCCAAAATTTCTGAAAATTGCAAAATACGCAAAAATGCCTGAATATTGCAGAAATCGCAAAAATGCCTGAAAATTGCAAAAATTCCTGAAAATTACAAAAATCGCAAAAATGCCTGAAAATTGCAAAAATCGCAAAAATGCCTAAAAATTGCAAAAATCGCAAAAATTCCTGAAAATTGCGAAAATCGCAAAAATGCCTGAAAATTGCAAAAATTGCAAAAATTCCTGAAAATTCCAAAAATTGCAAAAATCGCAAAAAATCCTGAAAATTGCGAAAATCGCAAAAATGCCTGAAAATTGCAAAAATTGCAAAAATTCCCGAAAATTGCAAAAATCGCAAAAATGTCTGAAAAAATTCAAAAATTGCAAAAATTCCTGAAAATTGCAAAATTCGCAGAAATTCCTGAAAATTGCAAAAATTCCTGAAAATTGCAAAAATCACAAAAATGCCTGAAAATTGCAAAAATCGCAAAAATTCCTGAAAATTGCGAAAATCGCAAAAATGCCTGAAAATTGCAAAAATTCCTGAAAATTACAAAAATCGCAAAAATGCCTGAAAATTGCAAAAATTCCTGAAAATTGCAAAAATTCCTGGAAATTCCAAAAATTGCAAAAATTCCTGAAAATTGCAAAAATCGCAAAAATTCCTGAAAATTGCAAAAATTCCTGAAAATTACAAAAATCGCAAACATGCCTGAAAATTGCAAAAATTCCTAATAATTCAAAATACCTGAAAATTGCAAAAATTGTAAAAATGCCTGAAAATTACAAAAATCGCAAAAATGCCTGAAAATTGCAAAAATCGCCAAAATTCCTGAAAATTGCAAAAATCGCAAAAATGCCTGAAAATTGCAGAAATCGCAAAAATGCCTGAAAATTGCAAAAATTCCTGAAAATTGCAAAAATCGCAAAAATTCCTGAAAATTGCGAAAATCGCAAAAATGCCTGAAAATTGCAAAAATTGCAAAAATTCCCGAAAATTGCAAAAATCGCAAAAATGCCTGAAAATTGCAAAAAATCCTGAAAATTCAAAATTCCTGAAAATTTCAAAAATCGCAAAAATGCCTGAAAATTGCAGAAATCGCAAAAATGCCTGAAAATTGCAAAATTTCCTGAAAATTCCAAAAATTGCAAAAATTCCTGAAAATTGCAAAAATCGCAAAAATTCCTGAAAATTGCGAAAATCGCAAAAATGCCTGAAAATTGCAAAAATTGCAAAAATTCCCGAAAATTGCAAAAATCGTAAAAATGCCTGAAAATTGCAAAAATTCCTGAAAATTACAAAAATCGCAAAAATGCCTGAAAATTTAAAAAATTCCTGAAAATTACAGAAATCGCAAAAATGCCTGAAAATTGCAAAAATCGCCAAAATTCCTGAAAATTTAAAAAATCGCAAAAATGCCTGAAAATTGCAGAAATCGCAAAAATGCCTGAAAATTGCAAAAATTCCTGAAAATTGCAAAAATTGCAAAAATTCCTGAAAATTCCAAAAATTGCAAAAATTCCTGAAAATTGCAAAAATCGCAAAAAATCCTGAAAATTGCAAAAATCGCAAAAATGTCTGAAAAAATTCAAAAATTGCAAAAATTCCTGAAAATTCCTGAAAATTGCAAAATTCGCAAAAATTCCTGAAAAAAGCAAAAATTGCAAAAATTGCAGAAATTGTAAAAATCGCAAAAATTCCTGAAAATTGCAAAAATCGCAAAAATGCCTGAAAATTGCTAAAATCGCAGAAATTGCAAAAATTCCTGAAAATTGCAAAAATTG